TTCATTTTTAACATGTCACGTTTTTAAAATGTTGGTATACTTAAATAAATGACTTTTATGATGCTAAAAGTACTTATTTCTGATCATATGGCTGTAGGTGGTTTGCGAATATTAATTAACATGAATTTTCTTTGCTGAAACAATATCACTTCCTATTACAGGGCTATCTAAGAATCTTATACAAAACGGTTCAAGAATTTCTTTGCTTTTTGAATGTCATAAACTTAAAAGTGTATAATTGGAGTTCTCTGAGAAGGGCCACAGCCCACAACCACCTCAGAGAAGTTAAGGTTTGTGGTCTCTGGTACGTTATTGACTGGAAAGCCAGCCTTAGTTTGATGTTGTCACTATCAGTTTGAGTCTGTCTATAGACCACCAGCTCCTCCCTCTCAGCATCGCGGCTGCTCAACATGCAGTAAACTTTGAAACCACTTTTTCCCCCACCTCTCCAAAAGACCCCCACCACCTCCTGCCCTTTTTTTTGTTTAAAGCACAGATAACAATGCTCACAAGACAGTTTCACTAGTGCGGCGTGAACAGGCAAGACAAAGGTAAGTCTTATGCGCTCATACTGAAATATTCGTTCACGTTATTTGAATATACACCACCCTCTGTGGGTTATTTCAGAGTGCGTTGAGTTATTAAGCATCCGGTAAACTGTACATTGCAAAATCATCGGGTAATTCTATAGTAAAGCTTATTCTTGTTACATCTGGGGGGAAACAATGGTAAATGTTTCATCATCATTGGCCTTTGACTTAGAATATAGAATGTAGAAAATAAAGAGTCATAACATTTGGGAGTTTAATTATATAATAGATGCTTAAGAGATCTTAAAGTAAAGTCAGATTAGGTTTTCATTTAGCAGAATACCTTATCCAAAAAGAGCTATACAAATTCCAGTTTGTCAAATGTTAAGGCAGAATCAAAAGGGACACGTGGCCCTTTTTATGTTGAGGGACATTTGCATCATGCTCTCAATAAGTGGTAAACATATTTTGGCCTTCCAGTGCTTGACACCCTTGTGGCAAATGAGAAGATTTGTCTGCCTTCACTTACTGGTCGGAGGCTCAGTCATTGGTACATATTCATATATAAAGCCATGCTGGGTAAACTACCTTCTTATATCTGCTCTTTGATCTCACGGAGAGTGGCAAGTAGCTATTGCCTGAGATCCCAGGATGTGTTTTTATTAAATGTGCCAAGTGCTAGGACTGTTTTAGGTACTAAAGCTTTTATGTGCGCTGCTCCTCTGGCTTGGAACACCATGCAAAAAACATTGAAACTGAGCATTTTGATTCCCTTGCATCGTTTTAAAGCACGGCTGGATGAAATGTTATTGGATACCTGTAAATGTAAATAGGTTGCTAATGTATACCCCTGTAATTATGTTGTGATGTCCTTTTGTTTTCTGTTTGTTTTTATATGTGTAACTAAATGTACCGCAGGTCTCCCTTGAAAAAGAGATCGTTGATCTCAATGGGATTTTTTAACCTGGTTAAATAAAGGCTACAAACAAACAAACAAACAAGATATTTAATGGTGCCCAACCAAGTTTTTATGTAAACAAACAAAAGTAATCTTTACATTTTGTGTTTTTCACCAAAAACGCAGGTGGTGTATCCTTTAGGTTAACAAAGGGCATTGAATACATTTCTGTTCATATAAAACTTTCACAAAAAATCCGTCGGATGTCATGTTTTCTATAGGCAAGCTTAATGAAAACACAATACAAATAATCCTAAAATAGGGCCTTGAGGAACACCACAAGAGGAAGAATCAAAAGTAGGATAAAGAGTTACCACTTGAAGGTGAAACTGATATATTGTACAGATAAAATCCAAACCACAGGCGTGACTGTGAATATGAACTACATGAACAGGATAGCACAAAATCACCAACTTTATCAAAAGCAGCAGAAGTGTCTAACGTAATATTTTAGTAGTCTAATTTCCAATGACTAAAGTCATTTGTTTTGAGGAGCAAACTCTACAGATGGAAATTCATCCAACATGTGTTTTATAATCAACAAAAGGACAGAAACAATTACAAGAAAGTGTTTACCAAAGAAGTTTGATACTCATATAAAAAATTATGCTTTAAAATTGGCCATAAGTTATAAGTGTCATCAGTTAGGGAAGTTATTTTATTGAAATGTTTATCATGTTTTATGATGTTTTAAGGATGATGGAACAGTTGACTGAAGAGGTGTTTATGAGTACAGTATGAGGTTGTTTAAAAAAGTCAAACACACCTTTAAGAAGAAGTGACAAAATGACTTTATGTACAATGACCAAGTAGTAGTGGTGTACTAATGAACAATTGATTAATAAATCATGATTGTTTTTCAGGAGAAATCATCGTTAGTTTAACAGAAACATGTTTCTGTTAAATATTTGCATCTATGCCAGCCTCATGCTGTCCCTCCCTCAGTGTACATATCAATCCTGCACAGATGGGACACCCAGACAGTGTCTCGATGCAGAATTTGCTCCAGGTACCAATTTGGCCGGCGAAGGCTTTGATATCACCAACATGGAACGTAAGGGAGCCTTTGTGCTCGACATGAATCAGTGGAAACGCAAGGACAAAACATGCACCCTGTGCAGCAACCCCTATCTGGAGAACAAAAAGCAAAAGCTCCCATTGTCAGTCATGGACTGGATAGCAAAGCAGTCCTGCAGCATGAAAGTGTCTAGCACGCTCCACAGATCCAGTGAGTCTCTGGTCAGTTCCAGCTCCTCTTCTGTGGAAAACGACTGGAAGACCAATCTTGATGTTGATGTGGGTGACAAGAGCGGCTCATTGATGCTAGCTGGTACTAATTCCAAATTGGCTGAATACTCCATGGAAAAAACTAAGAATGACAAGTTTAGCTTCACAAGCCAAAGCATGTCCTGTGAGTACTACAGGTAAGAACACGAGGACTGGGATGAAACTTTATCCACACAATGCCCTAGCTAAACAAATTAATGCAATTATTTTGGTCTGTCTTTTTGGCTGTCTCACTATAAACAGCTACAGAGTGTCCAGCGCTCCCAAGTTGCATAAAGAGTTTCGGAAAGCAGTGAAACAGCTTCCCAAAGTCTACAGTCCAAAATTCAAGCAACGATTTTACAAACTGATTGCCACCTTCGGTACCCATTACGTCACCAAGGTAAGGAATTATTATTTTTTTTTTTTAAAGACTAAAGAATAATGTCATACATTTTCTCAAACAGTATGTGTTTAAAAATAAATTTCCAGGTGAAGTTGGGAGGAAGTGTTCAGTCTGTGACGAGCATCAGGCAGTGCCAGGCCAGCCTGCAGGGTGTCAGTGTGGAGGAGGTTCAGATGTGCCTGGAAGCTGAGGCGTCTGCCAGCATGAAAGGAAATACACTAAAAGCTGAAACAAAACACTGCCAGAAGGACGCTGACAAGATGGAAAGCAAGTCTTCCTTTTCCGGCCTCTTCAACGACAGGTACTTTCGCATATATTTGTCATGTTTTCCATTTATCGTAGGACTGCAAAAAACTATCTTTTTGTCCTTATCAGTTAGTCTACAGGTTATTTTCTATTTACTTGGTCCATAAAATGTCATAAATTGAAAAATCAAAATCAGAATCAGAATCAGAATACCTTTATTAGTCCCACAGAGGGGACATTTACGTTGTTACAGCAGAAAAAGATCCACAGACAGCTTAATGTTACATATGTTGTTTATAAATGACTATTTCCAGAACCAGAAAACCCCTGTTGGCTCAGTTTGTTAATCAACTGTCCTCCCCAGGTTCACAGAAATAAAGGGGGGCCATACCACAGAGCCAGACCTTCTTTTCTCTGCTGACAAGGATCCATCCGCCTACAAAGAATGGCTGATATCACTACCGCAGAACCCAGACATTGTCTCAAATTCCCTGAGCCCGCTTCATGAGTTACTTCCTATTAACACTCCTCTCCGGAAGAACCTGCGTTTAGCCATTAGCCATTACATCCTGGAGAAAGCCCTGTGGAAGAACTGCAGTGAGAGCTGTCAGGCCGGCATCAAGAGCGACAAGAGAGATTCCTGCGTGTGCCAATGCCACAACGAAGACGCTGTAAACCAAGACTGCTGCCCGACCCGTAAGGGCATGGCACGGGTCATCATAACTGTACAACGGGGTGCAGGACTGTGGGGAGACCACAGCACAGCCACAGACGGCTATGTGAAGGTGTTTTTCAATGGGCAGATGATCAGGCGTACCCATGTCATCTACAATAACAACTACCCACACTGGAACACTGTCATTGACCTGGGCGCTCTGGATGTGTCCTCAGGGCATCGAGTAAGATTTGAAGTGTGGGATGAGGACAACAAATGGGACGACGACCTGCTGGGACGATGTGAGAAAGCTTTGTCTGCTGGAGTCAAGCAGGATCTCTGTAACATGCAACATGGCCAGCTTTTCTACAAGCTGGACGTGAAATGCGCTCCCAGTCTGAGTGGAGCTTTATGCAAGGACTATAAAGCCTCTCCAATGAGTCAAAGTCTGAAGGAGCTGTACGTGTCCCGTCATGCACATCCAGTGCCAAAAGCTATTCTGTTAGAGATGGGTGTGTTTGTGGATGAACCAAGCCCACTGAGCAACCAGAGTCTTACTGCAAAGACTCAGAAGTTTGATGTGAAATAACTGCGTTGTCTTTTGGTTTTTCGCGCTTGCATAGCAACATTACTCTTCCGTACATAGATGATACATTAAGCAAGACCATTAATCATTCACTGACATCCATGATTACATATCTAAGGATCAGATAGAATGAGATGTCAATGTCTGTTGGGAGTAATTGGTTTATGTGCTTAAAAAGCGGCTGCAACTCAATTATGGTTTTAAGAAGGCATTTTACAGTTTCTGTAGCACGTGTTAGACAGAATAGTCAACGTAGGCTCTCTGAAATCAACATCAGCAGAAGATCCAAAAGGACTGAAATAGATTGCTAAAAACAGTTATTTTATTGTTTATGCTGTATCTGTGTTTTGGTATTATAACCATCGTTCTGTTGACTATGGCTTGAGAACAGCAAAGCATATTTTAAAAGTCCTTGCTCCGGATGCAAACTTTTGAGTCACTGCAGTTTTAACTTATTCATATATCTATTTCATTTTTTTACATACCTTAACATAAAAATATATAGTGCATTTTTGTAGTTTTTTTATTATATTTAGAAGCAACATTTACTTGTGTGATTTGTGTATTGTAATCATGTCATTATTTTAAGGATTTTTGTTTATCCATAATAAAAGCATTGCATCTGAACCGTTTGTGGTACTTGATGTTTCATTTCATTACCTTTGGTTTTCAATTGAGTGTTTGTGTTTCTACGGTGTTTCTATTGCCTGACATTAGAAAGGAAGTGGTAAAACTTCCTGTGTACGGATGAGGCTTTTCTGAGGCCGTTATAAAGAACAATGTGTGAACAATGTTTGTACTCAGATGCTTCTATACAGCAAAATATTACATATCATTTATTGGATTAAAACAGTACATAATTTTATTTTTTAGATTGTAAAACATTGAAGCACATTTCATGGACTTAATAAAAATGCATGTTCATCAATCACCACACATTTTATTCAGTGTTGACAGAATAAGACTGGTGGGGCACTGCATGTTTAGGACCAACAAGACAAACAGGTAACACATTACACTTACAGAAGAAGACAAAGGAGGTTATGAAAAATAAAGCAAAAGACAAAACAGACAACACAACAGGACAGATGAAGAGAAACACACAGAAAGCTTTAAAAACACATGTAACTGAAGACATTATGTAAATGATCCACTTTAAGAAGCCCAGGTTATTTGAATTAGCCTAAAGACAGAGACAAGGAGGTAGGGGGAGGAACATAAAGATATTGAATCAGGAAAAATAGATGAATTTGATTGGTTGATGACCGACACAAGTATGCAAAACATATTATACAGTGGCAATGAACTCATGCACTTCCTCCCTTATAAATGTAAATAACTGACCTTCCCGCACCCGCATCGTAAACCCTCCAACATTCTCACCTTTGTATCCATTTCCAAGGGCAGCGTTCCCTCTGTCATATTTGCCAGCTTGCTCTCCTGCGAAAGGATCAACCCAGTTCAATGTTATACATGTGTAGAGAAGGAAATGGCCGCAGCAAGAACAGGTTTGGACTTGTATTAGCGTACTCAGCCACACGCTATGCAGGCCAAAGACCCTTGAGTGGGAAATAATATATAATGCATGCAGTTGTACCTTTGGTGTGGCAGCAATTTAAGTAAAAGCTTATGTGCATGTAAAAAAAGGAGTATAAAGTATAGAGTTCATTTTCCAAAAATAGCCTCACTATGTTTGTTTCAGACAGGAAAAGAGCACAAATATTTCGACACATGCAAGACCGCACACTAGTTAGTTATGAAAGCTAATTTGTAGCACTGCAAATTGTGCAGTACACTGTAATAGTGCAAGAAGACATGACTAATAAGGTCTCCAGAAACAGCAAAGTGAGAGGAAGTTGATCATTAATGAGGAAGTCTGAGGGTTTCTTGCTTACCCAAGGCATCTTGAGTTGCTCCTAGCTGTGCACCAAATCCTTAACAAACACAATCAAACAAGTTTTATATTTAATACAGAAATAATACACAAAATGATCTTTTGTTATGATATTTGGACTTTGGGAATAGCTGGATAATGTGTGCAGCTAAAACGTGTTCTTAAAAATTGTAATCTCAATTATACAAGACATACCGATACTAAAATACTTATTACTGCCATGCTCATGTGGCCTCATCTGTGAAGTGCAGTCTTATGTTCTAGTCGGACAAAAGACATACAGTAGGGCCTTGTGAATTGTGTCAACGGTGTGCATGTGTTTCTCTGGGTGAGAGAGTGCAATCAAAGTCACCTGTTTGCTGAGGTCCATATCCTGCAGCAGCTCCTAAAACAACACAAAATATGAAGAAACTTGAAATCCATTACAAGGTACATTTTTTAATACATTTTATACATACATTGCATTTTCATATATTGTTTTGTTTCGTAATTAATAAGCAATGTTATCCATTTGCTCTATTATCAGCTTTACTGGGGTTGAAACCTGACTGGGACATATCTGGTTAAATACAAATTAACCAACACCATGCTACTTTAGAGAAGAAAAGCCAAACAATTTGCCATCAGACCGTTTCTCACAGTTTGTAGATCTCTCATACAAATAACAACACCCTATCACTCCTTCTCACCATATTTGTTGGCGGTTTTGGCACCTTCAGCACCGAGGTTGAGCTGCTGAGCAGGATACGGGTAGCCACCGTCACCTGAGGGGGGGCAATGTTATACGTCAAGTATTCCACTGTTCTGCTCGCATGTTTCGGTAAACTGACAGGATGAGTGAGGGCCGAGATGTTACTTTTGTTATTGTTTGTACAGCTATTTAATGTGCTTAATATTGTGACAGGGGTTAATATAGTGACAGGAGTAAATGTGGTCTTACAAATCTCGGGCTAACGTTACTTGCAAGGGCGATGAAAGTCCATTACTTTTGTAAATCCAGACACCATAGAGTACATTAATATGCTAACACCATGGCAATGGCGTTTTTCATGGTCAGTTAACCCTTACTGTAGTAAGTTCCAGTAATACCAGAATGAGTTGTATTAGTATCGTAGTTTCAATAAGAAGTAATGTTGCAATTATTACCTAAAGAAATAGTTCATCATTTTGGGAACTTTGCATGTTTGCATTTTTTGTAAAGATGATCAGAAGATTGAAATTGCACTTCTGTAAGTGGGAATAATACAACTGTAGCCAGCAGTCACTTAGCTTGGATAAGCACAACAAACTGTATACAGTGGGAAAGAGCTTAATCCTCTAAAGCTTAATTTAAGCAGTATAAATGTGTTGATCTTCTCAATAAGCTCTAAGCAAATAAGATAAACAAATGTCCTTAATCGTAAACCTATTCCGTCAAATGTAGATTACATACGGACACCTGTCAGCTATTAGTATATTTGATATGACTACAGATTACATTATGTTTGCAGGGACCTGAGCAGCTCCTCCTGCTACAAGGACAAAGTAAATGGGCAGAAGGGGAAACTTACTCATGTCTATTCTCTCTTTTCACCCTTACATGCTGTAAACCAGCTCTGTGCTATCCACAAGTTCAAGTCTGACTCATGCGTGGAAAGGCTCTTTGACAGAAGCCTGACTAATAGTGTGACAGAAGGATGAGGTCATGTCAGTGCTGCTCACCAAATTTGCCACCGGTTTTTAGGCTTCAGAGACAGACGTCACAGAAAATATATTCATACAGAGCTCTTAGTGGTGCAGTCGAGGAGCTTATTGTCTTCCAGGTCAATACATATTCTCAACACATATTAGATCTGACAGAAATATGGTAGACAAGTAACTTAAGCTTTTATGTTGAATTTGTGTTTTAAATTAAAGCCATCCTGCTATATGTTATATAATCAACTCGTAAAATACCACAAACCAACCATTACAAGGTGTAGTTCTCCGTTTGTAGTCTAAAATGAGTTTATTTGTAACAGTATATGGCAGTCAGAGTAAACATACAGTGTAAACTCTGAGGATGCCCCCGTCCTTAAATCTCTTACCATATCCTCCCTGGACTTGTCCAGCATAGCCTCCTGTACCGAGGGCTGGAGAAACAGGGAAAGATCATTAACATGCAGGTGAGACACTGTTTATCTAGTTACACCTTTAAATGTAACTATGTTATAAGCATCTACATGAGCAGGAAGACGGAAACCATCAGATTAAACTAGTCGGCTTATTTAAATAAGAGACAATAGCTACACCCAGTGGATATAATATCACACTGGATGTCCTCTTATTTCTTTCGCCGTTAAATGTCGCAGGTTAAAGCATCTACTGGTTAGTGCCATCACCTCTAATGGGTTGAAGCAGGTTATAACTCTGCAAACTGTTACCTTGGCGCTTCCCTGATTTGGTCTCAGCACCATCAGATAACTCTGAAGTGTAACCAAGCCCTGAAACATAGTTCTAATTAGCATTATACTTTGTCTGTGAGCTAGTTACTAACCCTTTACCCCCTTAGTCCATTTTCCTTTATAGGTCACTCACCAGCCCCAAGACCATCGCCGTAACCATTGCCATAACCTGCTGAGAGAATGAGAGATATGTTAAAACATTTCAAATAAATAGTTACCTTCAACAAATATATAGAATGAATTGGTGCATTTGATATTTCTGACTTTAACCAGAATCAAAAGGAAAACAAATGTTGAAGATAGTTTTCCTGTGTGTATGTGATATGCCTGTAAACAAAGCTTTGGCACCAACATCTCAGAAAACAACAAAAAAGACTCTAAACACACAAAGGATCCACCTGTCGTAACTAAACATCATCACTCCTGTCAGTAATGGTTTTGATGAAGAGGGAAGCTTGGTCATTGCAGTCAGACAATTCACGTTTCAAGGACAAAGTTTTGTTTTTTGTATTTAAATGATCTTCTATGTTGTCTTCTTTAGGTGGCATTACACATGTTTGACTGATAGTATTTGAATGTTTCTGTACATATGGTAATGAGTTGCCATTTACCGTAGCCATTGCCTGCCATGGGACCCAGGTGTCCTGTTGCTCCCTCACCATAGCCTGTGAAGACACATTCAAAGCATCTTGTATGGGAGATGGACTCTCGCTATTTCTGCATATTTTTGTTAAATACATCAATATTTAACTAAGGACCAATATAATAGATTGTAACATGAAACACTACTACAAAAACATGACTTTCATGCATGCAAAAAAAGAGGGAAAAGCTTCCATGGGAGTGCAATTGACAAAAACAGACTGAAATGGTTTGTGAGTAATCCTTTGATTTCCAAAACACTATCAATTATTCAACAGAAAAGAAAGGAGGAGACCGAAGCAGCTTCTCTTTGACCTTGGGGAAGGATGAAATGAAATGCAGTTGGGCTTTTCTTTCTAGAAACTCAAAAGCCAATGAGGGGTTTACAGGGAAAAGTAGCAGCTGATTTTCTGCTCCTTGATACATGATCTTATGAGCTCCATTCAGAATCTGAACATGACAAATACTGATTCTCTTTGTTTTCAGACAAGCTTCTTCATTTGCCATTAGGCAGGCATAATAAAGGAGCAACACTTAGTGGATACCCACCTTGTCCGAGAGCAGCAGCAGCTGAGTTTTGGAGAGACAGAAAGATAAGAGTTAGAAAATGGCGCAAAAATAATCCATATATTTTCAAGAAAAGAGTAATTAATGAAAATGCACCTCCAAGTTTGCCAGCTGCACCCCCCAGGTATGCTCCCTGTCCTAAACCTGTAGGCAGTGATTGGAAATCTTAACCACAGGTTATATAAAGTATCTGCTATCTGCTAGCAATAAGTGTTTTCTGTGTTATGTATCACTGGCCAACCTTACCTGCTCCGTAGCCCCCGGCCCCCAGGCTGGCTCCCAGATAGTTTCCTGCTCCACCCATATAACCTGCGGAGAAAGGAAACACAAGCTTAGTAAAAATCATCTGTGGTTTTCTGTAAACTGGAAAGAAATGTTGCCAGTTTTTCTCTGTAATTAAAAACATGAATATTGATCAGTCAGTACTGCTATGGGTTAAAAGTTTGAAACGCATGATGACACCGGGACATGATATCCAACATCCTTCATTTGTTTCCATATACAGAAGATACAGAAGCTGCTGTTAATCGAGTGTGTGGTGTAACATGTGCCGCTGACAGCGGAAGAAAAAGCAAAACAAACACACACACAATAGATTTCAACATGTTTGCCAGGATTGTATGGTTTTTCGCATCGTCTGCCCTGGACAATTTCCTGGATTGAATCCTAAAAACCACATCACCAGATGCTGAATCGTCTTCATACATCTCTGTTTAATAGCTCTTTAAAAGTCTACTTAGAGGGAATTAGACACATTTCTCTTTGTTTTACATAATGTCTTCTCTGTCTCTCAATCTCACTCTTTCCCTATTAAGTTTTCTATAACACTACAGTGATTTCTGAATAGTCATACAACAAAAAGAAAGACAATAGGATATTGAAATATTGTTGTAGGCATTACTTCTACTGTAAGAAACCTGATAACTATATCAGGATGACTTTCTAGAAACACAACATGTAATACATTCAAAGACCCCAACATAAAGCACCAGTTGTCTCTTTAGATACAGTTTAACATGCTGCAGCCGTTATACAATAAATGGTGTAATGTGAAGGTAAAGAGATTACTAGATCTAAGTTTTAAAATGCCAATTTTCTTCTAAAACAACGTACCAAGGACAATAGAAATGTGTATTTTTGACACTGGCACTGTTGAACACTGTAAAGGGAAAATACTTTTCTAATTTACAAGATACTAGTTTAGGCCTGTATACTACACATGATACTACATACTGTACATGAAAAGCAGATATCAAAGATATCAAACTATAGTTTGATATATAATCAGGAACACATCAGTACAATAACTGAAAAAGGCCTTTGAAGTAGATATTGAATAATAATAAGCCACACCCATCCTGTTACCATGAAGCATTCAAATGTTAAACAGAAAAGGACACTGCTGCTGATTTATTCTCAGTTGGTTTGTTATTTGGGTAGAAATAAATCCTGAGAGCATACTACTGCTGTTAGCAGCTGAGGGTCCTAAAGCAGCTGGACCGTAAGAAACCAAATGCCCAAGGCCTTGAATCCATAACAACTATCTGAAAGCAATAAAAGCCATGTATCTGCTAAAGCTATATCCCAAAGATCACAACAATAATGGACGGGCTTGCTCATAGTTCTGTGAAACTGATTCCAGTTTACAAACTCTTCATAATGCAGAAAAAAGAATAAAACAAACATTGTGTTCTGGCCACTACTCTCTTGTAGTACCAAGCTAAGTGACTGTAGCAGTCAACAACAAATATGTCTTGGTTGCATTTTTACATCACATCAATAGAGAAAGAACACAGGGCCAAAGCTTCAGAAAATAGATCTGTGGAGTTTTTAAAGACAACAATCACCAGCAAAACAAGTCATACTTGATGAATCATGCAAAACAAACACATGTACAGTAAATGAACTGCATTTAAGTTGTAATTTAGTATATGTGAACTGATAGACAGTGACATGTGGGCTGAGAAACTATAGATCTAAAAAATGCACAAAAAACATTATGATGGTATATAAAGACAAAGCTTTGCTCTTACTTGTTGCCTGGTCATTCCTCCCAGTCTGTCCTGGAATACCGAGAGATTTTGACTCTGTGGCATCATGTTCAGCGTGGGAAAGGTGTTTGGATTTCTGACCATCAGCAGTGAAGCCTTCAGCTTCCTGCCCTTCCATTAAGGTGATGCCTAACCTTTGGGTGCCTTGAGTTTGAAGATTTAGTGAACCGCGACTATGATTTTCTACAGTCACGGCTCCACGGATTCTGGGCTTATTTTTGTCTTTAGCCACAAGGCCAAGCTCTCTGACACCCTGCCCGTCTGCTACAGCAGATACATGGCCTCGGCTTCCCTGCCCTTGTTGAAGAGAGAATATGTTGTCTCTGCCATCTTGATTTGGTGAAATAGGCCGTTGATAAGTTGTTTCTTCTTGAGCTTGGGGAGTTGCACTTCCAAGATGTTTGCCGTCCTTCCCAATCTGAGTCTGGAGCGATAAACCTCGGGTGGACTGTGTTTCCAAACCCAAAAGCTCATGGTGATTGATTCCAAGCGCATGTAACAAGTCCCGATTGGATGCACAGTTTGGGTTTTGCTGATTATGTTGGATAGATGAATCATAGTCTCTTGCACCCTGTACCCGAGCGGAGGCAGAACTCAGACTTTTGATGTTGTCTTTAACAAGAGGCAGTTGGTGTCGCACACCTCTTGCGGCCAGTGTGGATTCGCGGCTTGCTGTGCCCCTTCTTTCTAAGAGGGTAGGATCATATCTTTCTCCTCCTTGTGGAACACCCATCCCAAAACCTTTACTCTGTTTATCAAGGGGTATCAAAGGTCCACGATGTGATGCTTTAACCAGAGGATTAAGGTTTCCATGTGGCAGTACAGCAGGTCTAAAGCCAGTTTCTGCCTGTGATTCAGAAGCAGTAAGTATATTGCCTCTCCTCATGTTGGGCATTTCAGGTCCAATATTTCTGTCTGCATACGAGGGACCAAGTGCTATGCTCTTTTCTTTCTTCAGATCTTGAACAGCGTGGCCCAGATTGGCCATCATAGGTCCACCCAATTCTGCTGCAGACGCACCTGGCAGAGAAATATCATCATGCATTCACGATGTCTTGGTGGTTCAGAGACAACAGTTTCTTTGAGGGTCAACAGCACACTGTAGTGGCCAGTGGCAAATATATTTAGTGTTCTTTTTAATTGATGTGTGTATTAGAGCAATTAATGCAATATAACACATCATCCATACAGTAGTCGGTACTCAAATAGAGGTCATTCGAGACCAAACAGAGACGAGACAAAATGCATTATGGCCTGGAGTTAGTCCAGTTTCAGATGACAGAACCAGATCATCACCATAATAAGAACTAAGAAGACACACAACTGAAGCCACACTTTGGAAAGACACTTATAGTGCTCATCACTGAGAAGAGCAATGACATCAACACATGACAACAAAATGTTGCCACCCTAAATTGTTTGAATGCCATAAAACGCATCAGTGTTACGGCACAAGACAAAGTCGCAAAATGACTCATCATTGTGTAGAAAACAACTGACAACAAAGTTTAGTAAAACACGGACAGGGTACAAAGGCAGAAACCTACATTTCAAAACCTTTAAAAGTGAAAATATTTGCAGTTTCAAATACTTTTCTTGAAACAACAGACATTTTCATGCATTCTCTAACCCAATTACTTTCAAGAACCAGAACTGTGACCAGAATACGGTCATTTATTATTATATGTCATTGCTCAAAAAAACATGATATCGTCCCAAGAATTAAGTGTGTAACATTGTTTTGGTGCAAAATGCAGCTTTCACAATCTCAGAGTGTCATTGTAATCTGACTTCAATTCAGATGTTTGTGTATACTAATTGTGCATAACCTATATTCCGGCCCTTGTAAACCACTAAGCACTAAGTACATATCAAACCACATTAACTTCCAGGTTTTTAACTGTGGTAATAAGAACTGGGGAACTCATGCAACATGCAACACAGATGAAACACTGATAGACAAACACAGTTAAACATCAGCCCAGTGCACACTGAAACAGGAGCTGATGATAACAGTACAGATGGAAGGTGAGATTTCATGCACACAAAAGCCAGCATGAACTCGACCTCAGTAAATCACAAGACACTCATTTCACAGAGGTTAAAGACAAATACAACAGAGGACAAAGACAGACGCAGACCGACAGAAACAAACAAACAGGTTGCTTTGTTGAAGGTTTTACCAGGTTTTAGCTGCTTAGCCTTCTGTCCAGTTGGATAGCCAAGTCCAATTCCTAATGATAGCAGATCAAAGTTGAAATCTTTTTAAAATTTGTATTAGTTTTCATTGTATTATTTCCGTTTTTTTTTTTTAAATATATTTCGTTTTGGTACATTTCTTTTGGAAAAGGTAAGATTTCGCAGAATTATGTAGCTGCCCTTTCACTAACACATAACTAGAAAATGTGTCAATTGCAATATCATTCTGACCCAATACATTGAAATCATGATTTGATTAATGAGTCCAACAAGACTAGACTGAATGTGAAAAACAATGGCGATTCATTGTGAAGCAGTTGCGGCATAGCGCCATCTCCAGGTTTTTAGATGTATTATTTTAATTGTAATTAAGCAATATTGTTTCAATTTGTTTGTAGATTATTGCTTTTAATGGGTTTCAGTTTGGGTATGAGAAATGTAAATTATTTCACTCACAGAGTTCCATGAATGAGACCATACAGTTCTACAGTCTTCAGTCTACAGTAATTTGCGAGGATGAGCCTCTCTGTAAATGTGGTTTAGGACAAATGGTTATATTATTTTTTTAAAACAATGTTGGCCATGGTTTTGCAAGACTCTTCTCTGCAATCTCATAAACCTGATAACTGACAGCAGAAGTGTGTTTTTGGCAGGAGCGATGGTACACAAATAATCCCCAGCATACAAATCTGAGCAGATGGAAGAAGTAATGGGTTGTGAGGTAAGACTTGATTATTCACTTACCTGGTCGCACACCCTGATATCCCATGCCGGGTAAAGACCCGTATCCTGGCAAGAAAACAAATGGCCAAGTTCAGAGGATGTGGAGTAAATCTGTAACTCTGACAAGCACTCTGATTACATCACTAGCTCCCTGGGTTTTTCAATCTGCGCCTTATATCAAGTTCAAAGACAATGACAGAGTGCCCCAGAGTGGAGATCCATGAAAAAAACAAGCTGAGGGTTTACAGAGAGTGCAATTCACAGTGTGCTCTCTCTTTTGGGCAAACAGCGTAAGGAACTCATCAAAACATAAAATGACTTACCTGGCTGAATGCCGAGGCCAGCTCCATAAACTGGAAAAATCACAAAAACAGAGGTTTATTTACAAAGTTTCTACCGCCAGCAGTGTTAACATGAGATTTGCCTTCTTCCTTTCCCCTTAGACTTTACACAGGCTGATTTAATGTAATACCAGTAAAAAACTAGTGAACAGGTTGGAATAAAGGTTGTGAACATAAGCAGGAAGTCCTATTACTAAATTGCAGCTGCTTGGGATAAACACATTAATGTGAGACAACAATGGGTTATGTAAAGCCAGACAACTTTAAATCTTATTTCTCAATAACAGTCAAATGTATTTATCAACCAGCAACATCTATATTTCTAAATAAAATATAAACTGGATAATAACATGTTCCTTTATAGGCCAGTCTTACCACGTTTCCCTCCCTGGCCCAAACCCATTCCAGTTGGGAGTCCAGTCCCTAAGCCCATTCCTGTGCCCAGAGCAGCACCTGAAATAACAAGAAAATGTTATGTCAAAAACAGGCAATATATTAATAAACTACATTAAATATCTACATGGAGCAAGTAAATAATGCACAACAAAATTCAAGGGAATATAATAAATGTTTATATTGATGTACCATATCCGCCCTGCGCTCCATATCCGCCCTGCGCTCCATATCCGCCCTGCGCTCCATATCCGCCCTGCGCTCCATATCCACCTTGCCTCAGGCCCGCTCTACCTCCTAACCCAAGAGATCTGTAACCTCCTGTGAAAACAATCAAAACAAATATTTCACATTGTTTTTGGATCATCATTCTGACCAATATGAAAACATTATATATAATATAGATGTTCTTAAGACAACTTACCAAGATTAAGCTGAGCCCCTGCATAACGGCCAACTAAGAGTTTAAAAAAAGGAAAAATAAGTACAAACATTACTTATCTGAAGTGAAAGTGATATGAGACAGTGCTGTGTGCAGAGAGCTGAACTTACTTCCTGTCTTCATTGCTTTGGTGCCATATCGGTTTCCCATTGCTCCAAGGGCACCTGCAACTGAGAAAGTACACAAAGAAACAGCATTTTATACCCATTAAATGTCTTCTACCTGTGTAGCTGTCCTGCGTTGAAGGAAGGAATATGCATACCTCATAAATGGAACATTTTGAATAAATATCAAATGTCTATCGGAAGCAACTTCAAGTTCTAGTTCAATCATACAGTATTAGCAATTAAACAGAAGCAGGAGTTGGCAATGAATATATATATAAAGAATGTCCTACTCTACAACATACAGTTAGCCTACAAGTTAGCTACAGAACATTTGTATATTTTAAACTACTAAGCATCCACAAATGTATGATTCATTCAGAGAAGCTGCTAATATTAGGGCACTATTTTTTTATTAAATATATGTGCCCTTTAGAGTGAGTTACCATTTGGTGTAAAAGTTACGTTATAGGTTAATGAATGCCAAGAAAATCACTGACCTCCAGGTTTCACTCCAACGCCGACACCTGCCCAAAAAAACACAGACACAAAAAGAAGGGACTGCTAAGTAACTTGAGCAAATATCAAATGTAATAACAAATACTTGTTTTTGTCTTGTCATTTCCAAAAAGGTTATTATCATAGAGCATTGGTCTTTGACTTCTGGAGTTATTACTTTTCAAAAGTAATTAAAGGATACATATCGTTACATGGTTGGAGGGGTTGAAAGCATTTAAAACGTTGTGACTTACCTCTGGCTGGCAGCATTCTCCCCCAGGCTACACGTTGAGGTCTAACCCCTACAAATGAAAATAAAACACAATAGTATTGTACATTTGGTGGGAGTTTGTTCTTTACATGTTTCTTAAAAAAAGCAAAAATGCAAAAAACAAAATAAACAGAAAGTAAATAAAACATTTATAAATTGCTACAGACAGGTAAATACAAATATAAAGTAACTCTACAATGAACGAATGAAAATCATGATCACATAATGCACATAATGAAGCATGCGCCACAATGCACAAAATTGAGCATTGTAGAAAACAACGTCAACTGAAAACTGGTAAGAATAGGTTTTTCACATTTATAGTTTTCAGTTATTTGCCACCTAAAAAAAACAATACATGTTTATTTTCCTGGCTTAAAAGCTTTCTAGATAATTGACATGGAGTGTCAGTTATTTTAATTTGTATATTACTTGCAGGCATTTACCCTTACCTCGTTGAACACTCCTTGGCAGACAAATAGATGGCATTATTTAAAAAACAACACAAATGCCACCACAGTGTCAGATGAATGCTGCCACCTGACATGGCAGCAGGGAGGAGAGAGGAACACATCGCCCTTGATGGCTACAGAAGATGAGACAAAATGGAGCGACTGTGTGGAGTCTGTTTGTTCTCCTCACGATTGGTTGTCAAATTTGACCTGCCTCTTTCATCTTTTCATAGTATCCTTTGATTCAAAGACATTTAATAATATAAACCGCAGTAACCTCCTGATGGAGCCACGTGGGGTTTTCTCTACCTCAATCTCATAGACATGATATTTAACAAGTGAGTGAGATTGAGTCGCCTGAGATCTAGCAGAGCATTCAAGGTCAAATCATTTTGACATAAAGAATAATGCATCAAATGTTGGCTATTTAATAAAGTGACATCTTACCATAATATACTGCCACGACTTATAAATGCAACGTTGGCAATGCAAATGTCAAACGTTTTTGCAGAAGTAACCAGAATGTGCTTTACATTTGAGAAAGGTCAAACGTGTTAAGTCATTTTGTTTAACCTCAACACATATTTAAGTTTTGTATTAAGTTTCAATGTGTTTTAACCCTGTGTTTAAATATTATTCAACCAACAATCTACAATAAAGGATATTTCCTAAAAGTGCATAGTATCCATGATCACATAAAGATTACAAAAATCTAATACATCTGATTATTTAAAGTTATTATGTACTAGTAATTCTGATAAGAGGAAAATAGAGAAATGAATTAGGAATTAAGAGCACAGAATATGTGCTACAGATAATACATTTCAAGTTTTTTACAATAGTTTAAATGTGATCAAAGAATACAACCAGGGTTCGGTCTTAACATTTGAAATACTTTTTTCTTTCTTACCGCCTTGCAGAGTTTGCTGAGTCAACCAGAGAACCAGGGAAGTCTGGAGCAGAGCTCGAAACAGCATGATGGAGGAGATCGGGCACCAAAAGCTGATCAGAGCTGACAGAGAGCAGAGAGACCAAAGGATGGACAGATGAATGGATACTAAACGCACCAATACCCTGATGTCTTATATATGGTGTTCTCTCTGACACACTCCCACTGCCCAGTCCTGCCCTCTGCACACACACTTGTATGATTGGTCAAAGCCAAAGGCCCATTTCTGTTAATTTCCATTAGTTGAGAATGCACACACACAAAATGACTATGATAACAATTTTTCCTGCACCTGACAATTCACACCTCTGTGCTTGGTAGAGTCAGATTGCATTAGTAGTGGTTTATTGTAGCATCATTCTTCTGAAATTCTAAATATCACTGTTTTACCAGGTGAAGTTCAAATGCTTTATTCCACAGTAACAATAGAAAAGGAAAATCATTTAAATCATTAAGAAGACTATGAGCAAGGAGAGAAATTGAAGTGTTCCCCTGTAGGTCTTGTGAAAAGACTAGTGTGGAAAATAAGGGTTATAAAGTAATAATAAAACCATAAGGGATGTATGAATACACAAGTCGCAGCACAGAGCAAATAATTTGACCTGGACTGTGAGAATTAGAGAATGCAAATCACGTCAGATATCAGCATCCTGTGGGCTTGAGGAAAGAAGCTTTTTCTCAGCCGCTCTGTGAATTCGCTACTGAAATTCGTATTCTGTTGCTTCCTAATCTTACAAGCGCTGGTGCTGCACTTTTTGGTGTATAAGTCCTGCACAGCAGAGAGCAGTGTTGATCTGATGGTACGCTCTGCTGAGTGCACCACTCTCTTTAAGGCTCTATAATAATTGACTTCAGGAAGAAGCCTCACTCTACTTTTCCTGCAGTTATTTATGGTCAGGCTGTTGAAGTAGTTCAACAGTATGGCTGTGTATTGGGAAAAGATCTGGCATATCAATACATACTGGGAAAGGGGTTATGATTCACAATCAGACAGTGGGATATGCATATATACCGTATATTCCCTGTCACCTTACCTGTTGTCTAGCAGAGCAGTTCCCAGACCAGTTGGCAATGCCCCCTATTGGGATGCTTTCCAGAGCACCACGGTATAACTTTTCAAACACACAGAACCTTCTTGTCCTGGTGGAAAAGCATCAGGAACAACAGTTAACATTCAGACATAACTATCAGTGAACAACGTCAAATAATACAAATGAATTGCCCTTCCCCCAACAATTTGTGTGTGTTTAGTTCATGGAAGTTAATGAAAGAAGGGAAGAGCATTGTAACCTTACTCGGCTGTCATTGGGAAATATAATGTGTGACAGTGTTTTGAGACTGTGTACAAGGAGCATTAGCCCATGGTGGCATACACACCAAATTCCAGGATCATCCACATAGTCCTGTAGTGTGGTCCCTAGCCGTTTCTTAATCAACATTTTAGTTCATGTCTTAACCTCAGACAAGGCGAGATTTGATGCAAACATCTGACTGGAAAACCACATATGATGGTTATGCTTTGAAAGACACCAGTTGTTTTTTATGCCACCTGAGGAAAACTGAAGTCACACATGTGCAGACCACCACATCGTCTTCTTTGGTGGTATTGAGCATAAGACAATAACATAACCCACGTCTGACTCATTACTCCCTCACCCATGATTCCCTTCTAAACATTTATCTGTCTGCATGTTTGAGAGGTGCCCCAATCAGATCCATAAGGAGTGTCAATTTTTCGAGACGAGCTGATGTTGTCAGAGGATGTGCAGACTGTGTTGGCTCATTAACCCGGAGAACAGTATGGGAACAGGGAGTGCAGTGTCTCTGGAGACACATCTGGATGGCAGTTTCAGTGCGGTCGAATTAGAAACACAGTGCGCCCCAATATATACATACACGTTACATTGTGTGTGTTCGTGTCCTTATGTGTCCTTTAAGGTCGATAGAGGAGGGAAAAATGTCTTAAGTCTGGCTGGTTAAAGACCTGCAGGTAGACACAGGATTATGTTAAAGGGGACCTATCATGCAAAATGCACTTTTGTACATCTTTTATACATGAATATGTGTCCCCGGTGTTCCAGGGAACTCACCAAGTGTCAGAAAACACAACCCTCTCTATTTTCCTCCATACCCAAATCTCTAAAAAAGGGGCTGCAACGGATCTGATAAAAACTGATCCAGATTTGAACACTGTCCTGACGTCAGGACGGTGGCGCTACGGCTATTGGGCCAATTCCACCAATCAGGAGGAGACAGCCACGGCCATTGCCGTTCGAAAGCGCTGGAGACGCTGTAGTACATATGCCAGGCCTCTAGATGGTGCTGTTCTCACAGAATCAGCCTTTGCAAAAACAGAGCTAACATTTTTCAAATTGAGCGAAATGAGGCATGGCTAAAATGTGATCTGTTTGGTATTTTGAAAAAAAAAAAGTATAAATATGCCTTATATAGGTATGGTCCTACACTATATTATTCAAATATAGCATGATAGGTCCACTTTAAGGTAGGTTACATTTACAGCATATCAAAAACATAGAGCTACAATAAGTGTCACTGTTTTTTTTGGAATAGAATAAAACATAGCATTTCGTGACTCACAATGGATGATAATAAATATTGACTTACCCTCATATATAAGTGCATAAAGTAAAGTTCATAGGCAAGAAGAGTGTAACTAAATAAGTTTATGTTTTGCATAAAACATTTTTCAAAATCTATAATGCAAATATAATATTGTAAGCTGAAAGCATTATGCTAAGCTAAGCATCATGGTTTTAGATGGTGAACAATTTAAAAACATTTAGGGTTATTTCCTAATTAGCTTTGAACCTACTTCTGACAAATATTGGATGTCAGCACAGTCCCATTGTATATTTTAAAGTCAGTTTATACAAAATGTAAGAGTACTGGGGTCACATGGTTTATGTTCCCTTAGAAATCATCTTTAAACTTCAAGGCCGCTTTTTCATGAGATTCTGTACAACATACAACATATCCAGCGTGACCATAAACAATGGTCACCCGATGCTGTCGTAGAATAGTCCATTGTATGGCATTGTCCTAACATAACAGAGAACAAAACCACAAACAGGAGAGTAAACGCAGACAGCAGTGTCTGGCTTAAAAACGATGTTCATGTCTAAGGAGGAAACACCTGCAGCTGATTAACTTCGTCAATTAATTTCCTCTACCATCTCAAAATTCACAGAGCGCCACTTATTGGTCGGAGGTGAAAATACAGATAATCCCAACTGAGCATCCAATATGAACATTTTCCTTAAAGGTCACCTATTATGCAAAATCCACTTGTTCATGTCTTTTATACAAAAACATGTGTCCCCTCTGTGTAAAGAGATTCTGAAAGTTTCAGGAAAAAAGATTCGCTCACTTTTTCTCCTGATCCATTTATATAAAAACATGTCTGAAAATGAGCTGATCAGATTTTAGCCACTTTATGTCATACATTTGTTTTGGCTTGTGTAACCATTAGCCAATAACCAACCAAGGTAACTCCCCCCCCCCCACCTTATCACCTGAATCTCCTCCTCGAGCACCATTGTGTTCTTTTTAATCAGCACTTCTGAAACAGGGCTGAAACAGAGGGGATTATGGGATGCTACAATGATCTGTTTGGTATTTGGAGCCAAACACTTCAGAGACATGTTTTGCATATATCTGAGACATCTGAGACATGTTTTTCATGTAATATATTGATGAAAAACAGTATAATAGGGGACCTTTAACATCTTCACCTTCGCTGTTAAAAAAAAACAGTTTTAATAATTGTATTCTTAGATTTGAAGATTCGTTTTTCTTTTTTACCTGGGGACTGGAATAGTTGTGTTTATCAGTGGTTTTATGCTCTTCTTCTTTCAGCTGGTAAGCCATTGGGCCACCTCCAGGGGGGATAATATTAGTGTTCAGCTCCATGTAGCATATACACATTAGGGAAGGAACAAAAGGCCTACAGAGGGACGGCTCACTCTTTATTCAGGTGTTTCAGTTAAACCTGCATCTGGCTGAAAAGGAATTGTTCCCAGAGGAGAGGAAAATGACAATTGGGTTTACAAGACATAAAGCATCAGCAAATGTAATCAATCAATCAATCAATCGGGAAGGTCGTTCAGTATTCCATCACTGAATGAAAAACAGTTAAGTTGGCTGCGGAAAAACAAATGAATGAGACGAATGATGTTGAAGTTGTGAGGAATTGCAGAGATGTCATAAAACAAATTGATTGTAGCCTTTTAGCTGCCTTCTTACTGCCAGTCAGTGGTACTGTGCATTTCCACTGGCTTGTTGAATATCAAATTAAAAAACACCGACAGGTAATCAAGCAAAACTTGTCAGCAAGTGTTCGGCTTACTTGCTGTGTGAGACTGTAAGTAAACAGCTGCAGATAATAAGACATTGAACTCTCACTCTGTCTGCACGGCACCTACTGATGTGATGGACAGAGTATGGAAGTTTCCAAAGAGTCTGTCCAATGAGAGGCAGCCCTCTCATTTCTTAAAATCCACTGCTGTCTCAGTGTTGGTCAATATTAATGGTGGATTTTGACTACTCGTGGTTTGTTTAAGTGTCTGCAGCCAGAGCAAACCTACAGACAGCTCACAGTCTCACACACTCACAATTAGAGATGTCATGTATACAAGCACATTCTTTAGACATCATTTCCTTTTTTGCCCAGTCCTATACTGCCGAAACAAGTATCAGATAGCAGCAAGCCATAGTTTAAAGTCCCTAGTTGTGGAAGGAAAAAGTACAAGGCAAGGTTTAGCATAAAAAATATATATCAAATATCTTGAACTGCTCTGCATTGAGGGGAGAAAGCTAGTCCCTGTCCAAAAGCGGTATAACTTCAATAAAGAGCTGTGGGCTGCTCTGAAGTGAATGCCGGAATATGGTAACCAAGTGTGCAGAATAGAAAGAGCCACACAGATGTACAACTCAAAGCTGGGACAGAGTGTTACAGCGGCTGCTTTCACCTCAGTCCAACATCACACACACTTACTGCATTGCACACAATCCACAGTATTCTTTCTCCTGGCATAAAATAAACACAGACAGGGGTGATGTGCGTGGGATGTTGTGAAAGGTGACTGGTCTGAAAACGTTTGCATAAGCTGATTTGCCCACACTAAAGAATGATTTAAATTGCTTGAATTTTAGTTTGCTGCATGTTATCCTCTCTTTCTCTGTCCTATTCCAGCATTTAGGTTTGTATCTAATAAAACGCAAAAGGCCATGAAGAAATTGTTTTAAAGAAAGATTATAAGAGGATAAAGTTAGGCCATACTTTTGGAATTTATATTATTTTTTAAATGTATACATCATTACATTTGTGTCTGTCCACTTTGCTGTGTTGAGTCTGACAGCAGATCAGAGCGGCTGATTAGTAGTGGCACAAATCTTAGTAGGATTCATCCTCTGGCCACCATGAATGTAAAAATTACAGAATCTAAAACCTTTAGGGCTGGAACTTTTGATTACTTAAATGTATTGGCTTAGTTCGTTTCGTCTATAAAATGTCAGGAAAGTGAAAATGTCCATCCCAGTTTCTCAAAGTTCAAACCGATGTCTTTACATGTCTTGTTTTAGCAGTCCAAATCTCAAAGACATTTTGTTTAATGTCATATAAATCAAAGAAAAGCAGGAAATATCCATATTTGAAAGCCTGCACACAGCAGAGCAGCTAGCATAGCTAAACAATAGAAGTATTGCATTGACTATAGGTTTGGAAACATACACATTATTAACGCAATGAAGCTGATAATAAAAGATATACAATGTCTGCGGAGTGTCTGCCTGTGAGTAGCCTACATGTCTGTGCATGGACTCTTCATGATGGTGTTTAACCTCAGCCCACAATAACACAAGTGCGAGACTTTCAGACTGACTGACATCACAGCTGGCTCTGCTGCTGTTTGCTCTGCAGCCAGCCGCCGCCCAGACGGAGGCCACAGGCTCACTAATATTGTGTAAATCAAGAATTAACCCTTAACACACTGGAGAAAACAGTATAAAAATAATGAATTTAAAATGTCAGACAGTGGCTTTTTGTGGAGACGTTTCTAAGATAGTCAGGGTGTAAGAGAAATGACGATCCGTCCTTTGATCAAAGTAGGATGACCATTATCTAAAATAAAGTAATGAAAGGATATTAACACTATTATAACTTAGTAACATGTTGTTTTGATTGTCAACAAATACTCAAAAGAGCATTTCAATGTTGTAGTTCATCAATGTGAAGCCAATTTTAGATACTTTAAAACGTTTAAATAATACTGGGTAGATGAGTACAACACTTCATGATATCATATAAGTATATTGTGTGTTTTATATTTTTAAAAGTTACTTAAGCCGTCAGATAAATATAGTGGAGTAAAAAGTACAACATTTGCCTCAGATTAGAGGCATTAAATTGATGTGGGCAGAACTTGTAAAACTTAGTAAAACTTCACTAATGATGATGACAGTATTAAAAGGGAATACAGACTTTTTGCCAAACTTTAAAAGTTGCAATAAACTAAAATGTACTTGCATGTACATTTAAATCCAAATGTATGAAACACATTTTTTTCAAAGGTTATTCTGGGTCACTTTATCTGTCAGAACTAGAGAGATCTCACCAACAGGAGGCAACCTTACTGCAGAGGTGAGCCTGTGCAACACAAATAACTAAAGGGAGTGTTTAAGGGCAGTGCACTTACAGTCTACACTGTACAGTACACTACTCCATCTGGTGGACACTCTATTAAGGTAACACATATAGACCTTTCCTCTGCCAAACAAACTACCATGGCCAATATGAATAAATACTTGATTTATAAACATTTAATTTCATAAAGGTTTATTTGTGTTGTTGATTCACATGCAGGTCTACCAAAGAAGTGCAAATGATTCCCATAGCTAAGGTAGAGCAGTATCAAGGCACTGTCTACTATAAGAAAATAAATAGATGTTTTTAACCTGAAGATAACAAGCAAAAAAAATGTGTTCTACATTCCAAAAGAGGCGTGCACATTATTTACAATTATTAAAATAACTTTTTAAGCACCGGAGATGTAAATCCTACTGGACATTTCCAAGAGGTCTACTTAATGGGCCTTAAAGGCTTCAATAGTTTACTTTCACTTCATATCAGCTTTCATCTAACCTGGAGGCAAAATTAATCAAAACAAGAAATAAATACAACTAAAATCAAAAGCTTGCACACTGTTGAGGCCGGCCAGCCACGGCCGGCCACACACACACACACACACACACACACACACACACACACACACACACACACACACACACACACCCCCTCCCCCCTATTCTCTTCGTCACATATGAGCCTTTGCACTTGCCCAAATATAAAGTTTCTTGGCTCATGTACAGGTAGGGAGGAGTCAGACACACAGAGTTCAGTCGAGGACAGACTGAAGGACGAAGAAGCAGGAACGAGAAGCAAATACAAGGAGTTCGCCAAAAAAATAAGAAGATAATAAAGTAAATTGAATACTGCCTGCCTGAAGATCAGTAAGTTCTTGCTGGATTTTTAAATTATATTTATTTTAAAAGGTTTACCACCACTCATCGTAAACAGCAACACTAGAAGGCCCAAGCCCAGCTGCCTGCTGCTGTTGTTTATTCGAAGGGAGCCATGATACATTGCTTAATATTTCAGCAAATGACTGCTTAGAAGAGAAATATGTGGTGTTTAAATGGCTGTGTAGAGGCTCTTCATATTAAACTAAAAAGAAGATAACACTTGGATGATTTTTTCTGGTGATTAGAATTTTTTTTTTTTTTAAGTACCGTAATTTATGGCCAATGTGTCTCCACCTCTCCAGATGTCTGTGTCTCCAGCTGCCTTGGTGGCTCGACGGGCGCTTGCTGCTGCGTCAACCTCCAGCCATGCAGGAGGAGGTCAGTGTGTATTTTCTGTGCCCCTCAAACTAAAACACAAAAAAAATTAAATCCGTTGTGAAAAGTAACAAATGAAATATACCTAGTTGAAGTACATATGAGCAGTTTAGAGCTACATGCATATTTAGTAGATGCATAAAACAATGAAAAAAATAATCAATAATTAATCAAATTAACAAATAAAATATGAGTTTATCATTTTGATAAAATATACAACTTCTTTGATGCCATGCTACGAAGCACTAAAACAGTAATATTAAAGTGAACAATGCATGAATAACTAAAATAAAATTATATATTATAGGCTATATTATTCTGAAATGGGAAACTGCATAATGACTACTTTGGTTCTTAATGTATCTGGTGATAATTATGTTGTACTTTTAGTGAAGTTAAATTGCATGAATTTTACAGAGTTTTTCTGAACCGTCATATTGCTATTTGTCCTTTGGAAGAAATTCTAAGTTCTTCTGAGTACCTCATCACTGAGCAAAATGCATCAAAGCCTCTAGATTTAGAGATTCTGCATGTAACTGCACCTCTCGTACAGTTTCTTTTGTTGAACATTAACTGAAATGTCTGCAGAGCTGGCAGCCGTCCTGCACATTCATGCTACTTGGCCGAAAGACAGGAAGTACATTTCATTGTTGATAGACTCAGAAGAGAGACAGCTGCTGTGAGGTTGTTTCCTTGTTGTGCCTGCGCCTCATTCAGGGCTTCAGTAATGCACTTTCACTGGTTGTTGTTTCCACAGCGAGGACCTGGAAGATTCTGACCTTTGTTTTGGCCATCCCTGCTGTTGCTGTCTGCATGGCCAACGCCTACATGAAGATGCAGGAGCACTCCCATCATGAACGGCCAGAGTTTGTTCCATATCCTCACCTGCGTATCCGCACCAAGGTGAGTCTCAATCAGCATACCTGCACCTGGGTTTAAAAAACATAATCTCTCTGCCATTAGATCAATGTTATTGGTTTTGTTTACCTTGTTGTTGACTTGTTTTGATGTCTCCTTCTAGAAATTTCCCTGGGGCGATGGCAACCACTCCCTGTTCCATAACCCACAAACCAATGCTCTGCCTGATGGCTACGAGACTTCCCATCACTGAGCGCTTCAATCACATTTCTCAGATGTGCTGTGCTCCTTATTAAAACTTGAGTCTCCTGGTGTACTTGGCTTTATTTTACTGATCCAGGGCCCACACCACATACAATCACTTGCTGGAAGACAATGAGTCCCATTTATTTTTTGTTTAACTCAGAGTAGTGCTTAATTTAATCAACCCTTACTGCTTCAAAATGTGTTTGGTTTCACACACACACACACACACACACACACACACACACACACACACACACACACACACACACACACACACACACACACACACACACACACACACACACACACACACACACACACACACACACACACACACACACACACACACACACACACACACACAATTTTTCAAAAGCTGAATATAGTCTCCAATAATTGTGTTGCCTCCTTAACATTTACTACATAAAAACTACAATGCACAGCTATTTTAAATGATAGATTCATGACCTAAGTTTAAAGATTAACATCTTCAATATGAATCAATGAGCTTGAGTCTTAGAGCAACATTCGTGAAATTGGCTAGATAGATAGATAGAATGGGAGGGATGAAACCCTCTTTAATGGTCACACATGCAGAGCACACAGCACACACAGTGACATTTGTTCTCTGCTTTTTACCCATCCTAGTAGTAGGAGCAGTGGGCAGCTATTGTACAGCAATGGGAGTGAGGAGGGAAGGGGGTTGTCCGGTGCCTTGCTCAAGGGCACCACGGCAGAGCAGGAGGTGAACTGGGACCTCTCGCAGACCCAACGCAGCAACCAGGAAACGACACCAGTAATCCAGCTCACACTCTCCGCTCCTCGAGCCTCAAAGGGCGGAGCAGCGAGCCCTGCAACGTCCCGCCAACACGGCACCCAGACCCCACGCAGCATTCTCATCTGTTTGTCATTACTGGTGTTATTTTCTGGTTGCTAACGCCATTGTAACACATAATTACTGATGTACCGCTGTAACGGTGGTGGACTCATCAGAACAGAGTGGGCGAGCTGACCAATCAGAGCACAGTGGGCTCACAGGGAGGGGGGGGGGGCAGGAGCTCCAAGAAGGCGTTTAGGACAGAGAGTGAATACACATACTATACAGAGATGCTGTATGAGAAAACCAATGTGATTTTGGAACACTGAACAATGTAAATCTATTCTAGTAGACCTCAACAATGGAATTATGATCAGTAGAAATGGCCATGACATGGGCCCTTTAACATTGTTTGCAGCTAATATTGGTAGCAATAAATTAGTGCAACAGTAGGAGATCATCAAAGTCATTAATATTCAAACTAATTGAATAATAGTTAAACAAATAGCTGTTTTACTCTGTTGTGTGATTTAAACAATATTGAAATTGTCATAAGCCACGCAGTCGGATTCTGAATAGACAAACTGAAAAAACAAGAAACGGAAAGCAGAATGATGTTCCAACAATATATTTAGTGGCATAAATTTATATGGGACAGTTGGAATCTATAAACTGTATACTTGCCAATTCAAATTATCTCTATGTACAAAATAAACAACTGGTTTCTAGACCAACCCTGATAATTCCAGTACTTCCAGCTAAATGACATTTCTCAAATAAATTGCAGAATTTTTACAAAAAAAAAAAGAAAGAAAAATCACAATAGATATGTCAAAAGAAATTATAATACAATTTTGTCATGCTGGGACGGGCTGCAGATAAACAAATTACAGATCAAAACTCAAATGAAATGTATGCTTCGAGTTTATGAAAATAAATCAGTCAGTCAGTCAGTTAGTGCTCAAGGAATTCATACAGCAGGTTCTCATGTAATCATGCTGTTGCTGTAACCTGCACTTTAAAGTTAAAGACATTTGATGAAATTAGTACAATGGCAACTTTTCTAGAAGCTTATAACAAGCCCTAAAGTCGACTCAATTAATCTGTGCCCTCTGAATTCATGCCACCAAACACTCGCCGTATTATTTCCTCCTCGCTCAGCTCAGAGATACTGCAGCCAGACTTAGCAGACCCTGTTTCAGAGTCTCTATACAGTCAGCCTCTCTGGCAAGTCTGCGAAGGCAATCCCCAGCTAGAGAGGAGGACAAGAGGGGCCGAGGGGAGTCCTGACAGCCCAGCAGCAGAGACAGGCAGGCCCGACCCAGGGCAGGGTAGCTGTAGCGCTGAGAGAACCAGTACACCTGGGGGAGGAGGGCAGCCACGGACCCACCCTCAGCACTCGCTGTTGAGGAAGACATTGAGTCCTGAGCTGATGATTTTAGACGCTGTGCTGAACCTTTCAAGTTCTTTGGTCTTAGCCTCAACTTTTCTGGATCACGTGATTTGTCCACCCCTGACACACAGCTTGATTTTGAAACTCGAATGACGCCATTGATTGTCTTGTGGTCCGAAGCACGAGAGGTTATATTCTTGTCCGTCTTGAGCAAGGAACTGTTCTGTTTCTGCCCTGGTACATTTTCAGTTTGAACCTCAAAACCCGTCAACTCTAACTCAGATGTACGATTAGCCAGGTTCTCCTCTGCAGACTCGAGACAGTCTTCGTCCGATTTAGATGCAGCCTTTTCAACCTTGTCAACTGTTGGAGCTGATGCAGCTCGATAAGCAACCTTTGTGGAGCAGGACAGGAGAAGAGACACGCAGAGATCTTCCAACTCTCTCTGTAGCTCAGTCACTAAAAATCTGCACGCCCCAATCATCACCTCACCTAAAGCTGTTTTCTGGAAATCCAAGTCTTCTGTTGAGCGATCCTCCCGCTCTTTTTGGCAGAACCCTAGTCCTTCGAGAACTAACTTGTCCAATACCAGGCACTGCCCCCTCTTCTCTCCTTCATCGCTTTCGCTCGTTGTTTCCGTGTCCTTGGTAAGGCGACATCCGTGCAGATAATGCAGAACTGGTAGCAGCATACCTTGGCTGACATCTTTGATGCGGATGGCTTTTTCTACACTACCCTGAGCTTCTCCAAAACCGCCTCTCAACAGAGCCCAAAAGTATTCAGAGCCAACCCCCTCTGTCCCTTCCACCCCGGCCACGGCCTCCCTGTTGGCCTGGACCTGAGTCCCGTCATCCAGCAGCAAGAGGAGGTCAAAGTCTGAGACTCCGTACGGACAGGTGTCAGTCAGACGAGGCCTTTTCGAAGGAGGAGGTGACGCTTTGTCAATTTCACTGACTGACTGTGTTGTAATTAGACTAAGATGTTTCTTGCCAAGCTCCATTTTGATGCTACCTGTCAATGTAGACAGGCATCCAATCAGGAGGCAGGACAACAGCGAGTGGAGCTGAGGAGTCAGGCCTGAATGTGACGTGTTAAACCAATCAGAAAGCAACTTTCCACATTCAGCGGGGTGGTCTTCCTTCACATCAACCTCATCGCAACCAAGGGGCTGCAGAGCCAAGAGCAGCCCCCCGCAGTCCAGGAGGAGCTTCTTCAACAGGGACTTGTTGCTGTCGGAGTAAAAACATACACATGGTCACTTACAGAAATGATTCTGGATCCATTCTGCAATGGAGTAAGTAAATATAAAACCATTCAATAAATTGCATGGTAAAGTTTCTGACAAATGTTATAAGGAAATTATGAAAAGCGGAAAAGTGGAATTTTCTATTCATAATGAAGGCTTTTTTATATTGATATTAATAACAACATCATTTGGTACAGGTCTGAGCTTAATAAAGCAGGTGTCAGGTGTACATGAGTATAAGTAAATACATTTAAAAATGAACAAAGAGGTCATAAAACAGATTTCATTTTTGACTGAGGTTATTCAGATCTACCACTCACCTGCAGATTAATGGCAGCGACAGCGCACAGTTCATCTTGTCAGACTCGCAGCCTGACAGCATCACGTGGGCAACAACCCCAGACCCAAATCCAGATTCACACTGGACGTGCAGATTATTAAGCAGAGTAAGACCTGCAGAGAAAATAAGTGCACATTTAAAAACTACTCTTGTGTGTAACAAAAAATAACCAATATTGAGTTAAATGACAGAATAGCTGGTTCTTGTGTATTATTCGTGTGAGAAGTAGGCTCACATTGATCTGTATCGGCCCTCATACTGACTCATTCAGAGCATCAGCTAGATGGGAATGATCCACATTAAATATTTAAGATTTATTTTGTTCATGTCATCATCATCATCATCATGTCAGGCAGATGAGTCATACAGCTAGCCTTGGCCTAATGTTGCCGAAGATATCATTGTAATGCTCCTAACAGTTTGGCATACACACTTTTTAATTGGGTAAAGAGAAAACCTTGGATAAATGTGTATGGCTTCATCTAAAGATAAGGAACTGGGAAGATGGATGGGTGCATCCCTAGTCAGAGAAAACTTGAATGATGTTTAAGTTGAATGATCTAACGAATAACATACATAATGCTACAAGTAATACAATATAATACATGTGAATTATGTATAACTTCACAAGGCAATAAGCATACACATAGGTGATGCTTTCAATTATATTTTAGAGGGAGATAAGGTTCATATGTCAAATATTGCCTCTTAACTGTTCTAAAGTTACAGTGCTGCAGGTTGCAGATAACTCATCTGAGTAACATCTTTATCTTACCGAGTTGTTTGACTTTAGCTTTCACTCGTTCCGTCTGCCTCTTCCCTCCCTCGAATCCTCCCCCCCTCTGGCAGAGATGGTGATGAATGAGAGCTACAGATCCAGTTCGGACCAGCGCCTGCAGACAGTTTGGGTTGCAGCTCAGCCGGCACAGCATCCGGAAGCACCTGCTGCTGGGGTCCTGGTGCTGGGTGAGGTAGTAGAGCAGGCCGGACATGACGCCCGGGCTGATCAGAGCAGCACTCGGGTCAGTGGAGTGGGAAAAGCGTGACAGCAGCAGCAGGATGGGCGACTCAGGGGTCCAGGGCTCCGGGTGGTAGGGGTGGTAAGCCATGGTGCGGGGCACAGAGGGAGGGGTATCAAGAGTTACTTTAGTTAAACAAGCGGCTGAATTAACGCGCTGCCTCCTTCTGTGAGGGGAGAATAACTTTGACGGAGAGACGGGTGTTTGGGGCGTTTTAGTGGGGGAGGAGAGAGTGGAACTGGGCTGGGTTTGGGCTGTGAGCGCACTGGAGGATTGAGGACTAGAAGGCGGCGGATCAGTGATTTTAGAGGAGGAAGACAGCTGGGGATGGGCTGAAGAGGACACGGGTGAAGGCTGTGCAGCTTTTTTAGAAGTGGAAGAGGCAGTAGGGTTGGATGGAGAAGAGTTTTTAAGAGAGGAAAGGGAGTCAGGGTTTGGGGAGGAGGTTTGAGGCGATGAAGAGGGTGGGATCTGAAGACTCCCCCATTCCCCTTCAACTCCAGACGAATCGAGCAGGTCGCCCTCCGAGGAGATCAAACCCTCAGACACCAACCAGGACCTGAAGACAGAAAACAAGCATTAGGGCTGTTCAAATTGACCTTTGAATATTTCTCCTAATAAAAGAAAGTCAATACATACAGGTAATTGCACTGTTGAGGAACCTGTGATCTAAGTTTTTCACACATTACATATTTACACCGTAGTTGTGTATATGTTAAATCTATTGAATCTTGATAAACAATAGCAAATAGTAGAATGAAAATCAGGGAAAATAGAAAAAAAAACGTTTAATAGACCATACCTGAGACTTAAAAAGCTTGATGAGCATAGCTCCTTTCCAGCTTCCTCCTTCTTGCAGCCCTCAGGAGAAGGAAAGTCAAAGGATTCAAAACAAGACGAGGGCAGGAGCTCAGTGGGAGACATGCTGGCGGAGAGGCTCACATCCATCTTCTCATCAGATTGTTCCTCGCCTCTGGTGATCTCCACCAGTCGTGCAACAAGCAGAGGGACCAGTCCCAACTCCTGCAGCTGCTCCATAGCAGACTCATCAAAAACAAAATCTACACAGGCAAGGATGGTGAATCTGGAGAGGGGGTGACCCTGATGCGCAGCCAGAAAGCCAATCAGCACCTCCAGTCCACCGCTCTCCTTCACCTTGGCCCGGTTTACCGCCTCCTTGCAGCACAAGCACAGCGCCTTAAGGAAGACTCCAGACTTCAGAGGGTCCCTCTTCACCTCCTCAGTGAACTTCTGAATGACCCCCAGTGACCCCACCAGAGGGCGCAGACAGCCTTGGGCGCACAGGTTGGCGAGGGATTTCAGTGCCAGCTCCTCAAAAGGTTTACCCGACTCCCCCGACGCCATGACACCGAGCTGAGTGAGGACTCCAGAGCGGGACGCCTCCCTGGCACATTCAACCCCACAGCCCCGGGTCAGCTCGTGGAGCGTCCTGAGCACCGCCCGCCTCAGCGCCAGGGGATATTCTGGAGCGATGAGGGGGGCGAGAGAGGATAAGGTCCCCTGGGTGAGCAGCGACAGGCGGTTAGAGGGCGTGTCTGAGAGGTAGAGGAGAGCCCGAGCAGCAGACTGAGCGCACTCCAGTTTAGGACAGGGCTCTTTGGGCGGAGCATCAGTGGGGGAGGACGGGCCAGAAGAGAGAGACACACAGAGGAGGAGAAGAGGAACCCCACCTGTGGAATAAAAATAAAAAAATAAAATGGATGTTAATCTGACAGAAAATCATTTACCTTTCCCATTTTTGCCAATTTACTAATAAATAAATAAATAGCACTGTTCTTTTATTGGCCTCATAATAAAAATGTATTTTCCAGTATAAATATCTAACTACCAATAATAGACTCAATTAATTGAGTGGTATCCCACTAGCCAAGAGGGCAACATCTACAATGTGTAAGTGAAATATGTAACATCTTACAATTACATGAGTTATTAACCAATTCAATGAGAATAGTAACACAGTTAGTGAGTACGCGAGTTCAATCTGGTAATATGATGAGAACCAAACCAATTACACTATTAAATGGAAATTAGCTATTAGCTCAAATCTGGCTTTAATTAATCTCTTCTCTTTTATGAGATTAATGTAATGTATGCATGGTCCTTGTTGAAATAAATATATAATAAAAAATTAAAATGTAAGATGCACGTCCTTTTGGACACATGCTCTCTGGGTGTAAAGCTGTAACTACAGCAACACAAATACTGATATAATTGCCCAACACCTGTTCCGTATAAAATGGCTTTGTTTGTTAAATTTGACATTTAGACTAACCTGCAGAGTGGATGAGTGCAGAGCTCTGAGCATCCATGGCCAAGTTTCCCAAAGCCCGGGCTGCCCTGTTCTGGACGGTCTCCAGGGCCATATTTTCCTTCAGGATCTCCACTAAGACAGTCAAAAAAAGTTGCCATTTTATTATGTGCAAATTATTGCAAGCCTTAAAGAGTCCTAATTCTGAGATCAAATGTCCGTACAAGAATGTAAATGACCACTTACCTACAATATTTATTCCATCAAGCTTACGAACCTGAGAAAAACATTCAAAAGTTAAGAATTTCACTGGGTGGTTTTATAAATATAATGTTTAATATAAGTGGTGCATCTTGAATATTTCTATTGGAACTTCATAATCCAACTAGAAAATAAAAATAATCACAACTTTAAACATCTACAGAAGTGATATTCTAAGTGCACATTGCAGCAGCAGTAAGAATCCAAAACATTATATACTGTATAATAGTAAAAAACTGACAGGAAATATTTTACCGCACAATGAGCAGATATACCATTGCTTCAAGTACATTTTGGTGGTAATTTTTGAATAAATGTTATCTGGAAAGGATGGATCTGAATAATTATTTGAACACTGTTCAATACAAGGACTCTCTTGGAAAATATATTTGTAATCTCAGTGAGACCTATCCTGGTAAAATAAAAAATAGCCTCTCTGTTATTCCTTTTATCTTACCTCTATGCGTGTTAGCAGCTCAGTGCAGCAGTTTGCCAGGATGCTCAGAGCCAGGTCAAGGGTTTTCCTGGAGCACTCTGGGTGTTTGAGCAGCTCCAGCAGGGGTCTGAGACCACCTTGAGTTCTGAATCTGGCAATGCCAGCCTTGTCCCCCTTAATGTGCTGAGTCCGGATTGCAACCAGGGCTCTCCACTGAGAGGCTCTGATCCTTTTGTCCCCCTCTCTGCCACCGCCTGAGTCACCGTTGCCATGCTTGTGATGTTCAGCTCCTGATCCGGGTTTGCAGCAGAGGTGAGCCAAGCACCAGGTCAAAGAAGACTCTGGTGATCTCTGGTCTCTGGAAGGAGCTCTTGACTGATTGCAGTCCATTTGAACAGGTGATGCAGCCATAGTCCCCGGTTCAGTTATCTTAATGTTTCTCGTCTCAGTTTAGACAGATTTTAAACACATTGTGGAGCATCATTGAACGCTTCCAGTGAAATAGAGAAATAAAATAACATGTCCGTTTACTTAAAAATGTTTAAGTTTTTCACTCAACTAATGAATGTGTGCTCTTAATGACTTCATTCACGTTTTCAAAAGTTTCCACAAAAAACAACATTCTGGTGTCAATAAACTACAGATACCATGAAAAAGTAAATGTGTACCACCTGACGCCGCAATCGCTGATGGGAGATGGAGTTCCACCAGCTTCGGTCCCCTCCCTAAAAACTGGCCTACATCGTGGGAAGGCCGAACAAGCGTTATTCTACGTGATATACGTGTATCATCTCAATGTAACATATTTTTACATATGAAATGACGGAATAAAGCTCTAATTGATCAATGTTCTGTTACCACTGGCCGAATAGTTTTTGTGAAACAAAATGCAATCGCCTGTGTTAGCCGCTAACGCCATCTTTAGCCAAACAACAAAACAGGGGCGGTCGCGGAAGAGAGCAGGGAGTGAAGAGGTGGGCCGGTTAGATATACGCTGGGATTTGTAGTTTAAATCAAGCTGCATTTAAACTCACCCAATGCATTTCCTCCCTTTGAAAACTACACTACCCATAGCGGTGATAAAGCGTTGACGGTGTTGAACAATTCGCAGCGTTTAGGGATTGTAGTTTAGTTGATACACTAGAAACATTAGAAGCCCGTTTATGGCCACTAGAACGAACTACACGTCCCAAGCGGCTAAGTGACGTTGTTATTGTCATCGTTTTACGCGATGCATCGGTGCTTCTGAAATGTTGTTAAATGCCACGGTAATTACAGATTAATACATTGAGTTCTGTAGTATTAACTCCATGGAGGTACTCGAGACAATTGTGATACAAAGTACTGAAGTTGAAGGAAAGGAAACTGTCGTGTCTAGCGTGGACGTCGATAAAGCCAAAGCTGGTTAGTAACGTTACATGGTGAAGTTTAAAATGTTTCATCCAGTCATCGCATGCAGCGAGGAGGGCCTGATGAATGCGCACTAATCTATGATTATTATTATTGTCATAAACCATGATCTATATACTGTCAGTGACACTAAAGAAACTCAAAGTTATCCATTAACTTGTGTCCTCAAATAGTTGTTTCCATCAGACAGGTTGTGTAAAATAAAATGATTTATTTTTAACACAGGGGAAAAAACTGTTAATGTTAAGGGGCTCTATATTCATACAGTCTATGGTAAGGAGGTTAAATGCAAAGTTATATATTTTGTCAACAAATTAAATGCATAAAAGAAATTCAGATCAGAATACTTGGGTGAAAGTACTAATACCGCACTGTTCACATCCTTCAATACAAGTAAAACCCATGTTAAAACCTTACAGAAGTAAGTAATAAGTATTTTTAAAGCAAGTTTTATCTGTTAACTACATTTAAAGTATGAAACGTTTGGGAGGTAATTATTCAGTTATATGGATACTTATATGCTGATAGTAGTTGGGTAGAAAAATATATCATACTATATACAATTATCATATGTTTGTATGGTTTCTGGCCTGTGCAAACCACTGAAAGGAAAGGGGATGAAAAACCTAAAATCTAAAAGTTACTTAAGCTGCCAGACACATTTTATACCTAAGTTAAACCTAAAAGGTTTACCTATGAAATGTAGTGGAATTAAAGTATGAAGTTGCATACAATGAAAATACTCCAGTGCAAAGTACAGTACTGGTGTAGATGTAACTTAAAAACATGTTATATGTTTGTTTTCCTCTCTAGAATTTATATGGACCCTGCAGGCTACATGGCACCTTGTCAACACCAGACTTGAAATGGACCAGGCTTTTGATCAGCCAGTGTGCAAGAAAAAGAAACTTTGGGAGATGGTGGCAGAGAAAGTGAACGCCAAACTGCGGGAGTCAGAAGTAACGAATGTCACAGTGAAGGCCTATGAGTGTGACCTCAAGTGGAGAAACTTGCTGGCAACTTACAGGAAGAATGCTGAGAGGGCAAAAAGGCTGGGGGTGAACAGCGTCCACTGGGAGTTTTTCAAGGCCATGCACGAGGTCCTGGGTAAGAGCAGGGAGGACGTCGAAGCCCAGCGAAGGGCAAAGCTCAGTGGGACCAGAGTGGGCAATGCCATGGCCAGCAAGAGGTTTACCCCAATCCTCCCTACACCTCCTGCTACATCAGCTGCTCCCTGCTCGGCCCGGCCGCCACAAGACGTCCTGCAGCTTTATATGGAGCTGCAAGAGAGGAAGATGAACATGTGGGCTCAGCAGAAAGCCCTGGAGGAGAGGAAGATAGACGCTATTAACAACCTGGCCCAGGCTATCTCCAGCCTGGCTGAGAAGAACAGCATTCAGATGTCAAAGGATGGACATTAAACCCCAAAAGTTGTTGCTCTTATCAAAAAAGACGTTTGACAATGCACCAAGAAAACAGCAAAGGCAAATTAGGACAATTTTTACGATTCACAATGGATAATAATTACAGAGCTGGGGGAGAATAGCCACATTTATTTGTGAAAGTTTGTGCTTTTCTCCTCGTAAATGTAACACTTTTATCTCATAGAATAATCGTTTTGACTAAATGTTACAGTTTGAAGAATGTGTATATTTTTTCAAATATTATTTGGGCTGTTTTCGCCTTTAATCGATAGCCGACGCCAAGGACGGAGAGGAAAGTTGGAGAAGGATTTTATTTTTATTTTACCTTACCTTTATTTAACCAGGATAGGTTGAGATGACATGCAGTAGTCTGCCTGGAACCCAACCCTTTGCACTAAGCCTCTGTACATGGGGCGCCAGCTTTAAAAGGTAAGCTCCCCGGCAAGTCCCACAATTTTAGGAATAGGTTTGGCCACTCTGACTTCTGCACATTTCAACCTGACACCAGAAGATGGGACATGAGACACAGACCCACAAAATATACCCTGGACAGCTCTTGATTCTACTGCAAGCAGATCACAAGCCGCCTCAAATTTGTCCTTTTTTTATGTCCTATTAGATGTTATTTCTACTTATTTTTTTCCTAAAAGATAAGAGCGAGTTATTGTACCATCATCACTGTTCCAGTTATTGATATTTAATGTCAACAACCTATGCAAGAGTAGAACATTTTTAGTCTGCTTTAATACAGGCCCTACATGGTGCTAATGAACAAACTGAAGTGGAAATAATCACAGCAGGATTATGATTATTGTTCAAGGGAAGTCAAAATAAGACCTCTTCATACTCACATTTTACTCTGGAACAATAGTTAGTTAAACGGATAATCTTTCCTAAAAGAGGCATCGATAACAACTATAGTATTTATAGACATGCTTGTACTGTCATTGTATTTATAGGATACACTTTAACAGCCAGTGTGAACACATTAAGAATGTAGAGTATTCTAATAAAGAGTCCTGCAATAAATACTGCCTTTGCAAATGTTTTGTCTGTCTTGGCTATGAGCCTGATCAAGTAGAAAGTTGATTGTTGAACTTTTTTGCCAACTAGTGGTCAAAGTGAGAAACACACTGTGGCATTTCTGATCAACTTTCTTAAAGCAGGAGGGTCTGATATGAAGAAGAGCTGTGTCAAGATCTGCTCTAAGGCAAAGCAAACATGTTTTACATTGTAAAACAAAAATATATTCCAATAGGTTTCTGATGTGTTTTGTTCATCATTGTTTAAGGATTTATCCCTTGGTTCCTTAGACTTGGAAGAACATTTTTTGAAACCCAGAGTTTTTTTTGTCTGGCATAAGTCCTTTTTTGTGAGATTACATTTTCATTCAGTTTTTATGTCTTTATGGTCATTTTACTATTAATACATTTATGTGACATCCCTGCAGCATAAACATTCTGAAAGTCTTCCCCTAGATATCATCACATGTGTTTACAGTACCAACGTTTTTAAACAACAAATCTGAGATGGTGTCACGTCTTTGTGCACCTTCTTCATCTACCTCCCCATCTTCCTCTGGGGTTGTGTCTTCCTCTTTCTCAACATCTCCTTGAATCACTTGTCCCATGTCCAAAAATACATTGTGCAAGACACAAGCTGTTAGCACGACAGCTCTCGCTCGATCATAGTTTCCTATATCCAGATACTTGAGCCTTTGAAATCTGGCTTTCAGGTTGGCAACAGCTTGGTCCAGGATGTGAAAATGCTCTTCCAGATTCGTGTTAAAGAGCTCCTCTCTGGGTCCCTGATACCCTAAATATGGAGTTAAAATCTGAGCTGTGAGCGGGTAGCCAGCTCTGGCCAAGAGGCAGGAGCCAGGGGGCATCAGATCAGGATGCTGTTTGAGTTTGTCTTTCAGAGCGTTGCCCCTGTCCATGTTCGATCCTTTACTGATTGTGCAGTGTAGGAACCGGCCCTTACGGTCACATACGAATTGAAGGTTGAGCCAGGAGTCGGGATGAGCCTCCTCCTTCATCCTCTTCACCTCAGGCATTGTGCTCTCCACATCGTGTTTCCCTATAGGCAGGCGGATGGGGATGCGGGTGTGTCCCAACACTCCCAGGACCTGAGGGAGACTTTGCTGCTGCTCCTGCTCGATCTCTTGTATGCAAAGTGGGAAAAGGGCTTCTACAGCTTCTATGCCTTGAGAAAAACGGAGAAATACCATCAATATTATTATTTTCAAACTACTCTTAAATCATTGACACTTTACTGATCATGTCCCACAGACAACATTGAAGTCAACCCACCGACTGGCCACCTGATTTGCCTCTCTTCCAATGTGTTGATGCGCTCACAGAAAGAAAAGAAGGTCCTGTGGATGTTTCCTTTCTCCAGGTGGAAGCGGCGGGACACGGAGCGGTAGCTGACGCGCTCAGAGAGCAGAGTGAGGGAAAGCTGGACAGTGTTGGACAGGGACAAGCGAGCCCGTCCTGCCATTCGAGCCCTGGATTTGGAGCTCTGAAGCAGGTCTGTGATGTACTGATAGAAGGGGGGAAAAAAGAAGATTATGTTCCAGCATCAGTCAGACACTGATTCAAGGTATTTCAGGTGAAATTGTTTCGTATCATAATGCATTCACTAACTAATTTATTGTTGCAAGAATCTCCATGGTCTAACAGCAAGAAAAATAAACAAATATATTGGTCTCTTTTTATGGTTTGAAAGAAGGGGCAGCTAGAAAGAAACATTAGGCTAAAGGCAGGCAATGTAAACATTTGGTGTGAAATGTCACAAGTTTTTGTATGACACATTTCAAATGACAAACATATAAGATAAGGATATATATGAATGATCAAACTTTTGTATTATTGTTGTCGTAATTGGAATAATAATATTGAAACTAAAATAAAAGTTGTACCTGTTAACCACAACAAAAATATTTACTTTAAACTGCCTTTTTAGGTAAAGTTGGTAACATTGAATTGTGCTAGTTTGATGTGCATTTAATGTGTATCTTTGTATATTTGAATACACTGTAGCCTTGAGTGTTGTGGCAACCCTGGGGTCTTACAATGTCTGTGTACACTAGTTCGAAGAAAAACAGAGAATATCATATTAGTGCACAGCAGATAAGTTAAATCATGTTACCCCTTTTGACAGAAACTTATTTTAACAGTAAGTGTGTTCGTATCACCTAACACAGACTGATACCTGGACTGCAGCACAGTCTGAAGCCTCCAAAGCTTCCTCCGGGGACTCCTCCGGGGGACTGCTGCACGATGTTGTCGTCTGTAAATCTTCGGGCTGCACATTAGTTTGACTCTGCAATGAATGTACGTATAAAGCAGTAGGAGGCTGAGTTTTAAGTGTCGCCATCATCTCAGCCTCCAGGACCCCCTCCACCGCCTGGTCCAGCCGCTGCTCCAGCTCGCCCGGGGACAGGGGCTGCCACTCCCGCTCCACCATGTCCAGCACGGCCCGGCCCGCAGATAAAACATACTCCTCCATCTGTTGTTGTATTATGTTGGCCTATCCTTTGTTAAGTCATGGGTACTCTTTTTTGCCCATGTATAGGACACGTTAGTTAAACCAACTAAGTTGTTTGTAGTTGCATAGCTAGGAGTCGCTGATCACCGCGGCTAGCAGAATGCTAAACTAGCCTGCTAGCTAACGGACGTTGCCTTCATGTGTTCAATAAAGTTCAGTATGCTGCCTTCAAGTGCTTTCGGAAAGTTCGGAAACTTGTTTTCAATCATTAACAACAATAGGCCTACACATAAAGTAAAAATAAACATATACACAGGTTAATGTATCTGAAGGCAAATGTCAAGGGATAAACATGTTTTAAAAAATAAATAAAAACAAAACATACAGTAAGTATGTCTATCTAAATAATACAATTTTCTCTTTGAAACATGATAGTGAGGTTTAACTCAAGCACATTTCATTTATGAAAAAGTACAGTACCTATGGGAATGAGCTTAACTAACAACATTGTTTGCAAAGTGGTATATGTTAAAAGTGTATTATTGTTTTATTAACCAATTTATGAAGTGACTGAGAAAAAAAGGCATAGTAAATGCCATCCCATCCCACATTATAGTTATGTGTTCAACTCATTACCTTGCCATTATCTTCTGTGATAGCTTGTTATTGCATATGAAGCTGACTCTTAGCACTGCAAGTAAACACTGTATGATAACATGTAAAGCAAAATCAATAATTATATTTAGTTTGCACAAAATAATGCAATATCTATAACTATCTTATGTTTACCTTGGACTGTATACAAAACACCACAGTGCACAGGGGTGAAAAACAGATGTTTTAATGTTGAAATCATTTACAAGTGCAACTTTGATCATGTCCTACTGTTTAACAGCCTCCACTTGCAAATGTTAATGTCAACCATGTTATTCAACAACCCACGGTCAGAATGTAATTTCCTGTTGTAACTAATAGAGGGTTTTAGTTGTTTCTTTAAGTGTAGTTTTCTAGATCACAAGACCCAGTGTTATATTTAAATTTGATTATACAGCTTTTGATGTGATTTTTTGATTTCATTCAATGTGCAGATAATAATTCCCCTTTTAACTTCAGGAAAACTATAAGAAATAAGGTAATCGGGTATAATACAACACAAGTTGCAGCATGAACTGAACCTTAATAGGAAGGGATTCTGGTACAATGCAGAGTCAGATGTGCAGCCAGTTATTCACAGGCACGGTTCATAACTTTGCACATGACAAACTTCCTGTTAAATTAAAACGGTTTAGGTTTACTGGAAACAATTAGCCCCACTGATTAAAGTCAAGATGTCATCGGCTGCAATAAAAACATTGGAGAGGAAATTGGTAAGGTAAAAAAAAAAATCACTCTTAATTTATTTTTGATTGCTGCCTGTCGAACTTCACATTCAACACCAGGTCCATGCCAGCGTAACATGTGTTGTAAATACCAATGAGTGCATTCAGTCTCAGTAACTTCTGTGAGCAGCTACAGTAGGAAAACTACAACTACTGATTGGTAAATAACCTGGAAAATGCTCATCTTAATGTCAGATCTCCTGCCAACAAGTTCATCCATTTTATTTCAGATTACTATGGTTGTTTTTGAAATACAGATAGTAACTTAGAAATTCACAAAATCCAAGCTATTGTTGCAACACATATCCAGGCCAAAGACCAAAAACATGTTAAATCCTAGTAATAGTTTAATAAAGAAACACACAAACATAAAGCCTAAAAATGTAACACCTCATCAACTCCAACGTTTAAGCCAGCAAAATAAAAAACACAAGTAAGGCAGCAATAACCTTACCCCAAATAAAGACTAGAATGAATTAAATACGAGGTACAATTTCTTATGTTCAGTCGTTACCAATCCCATGGATGACTGACAGTGTTGTGACAAGCCCTCCAGGAATCTGAAGGGTCTTGTGTGAAATTATCAATTTATCTAGCATGCGTTCACTGATTTCAGGACAAATAAACCACTTTGAAGCACCCACCCTCACATTTACAACAAGGGGTATCCGTGTTTGTAACTGTTTATGCCCAGCTGAAGATCTGTTGTCGGCATGGTAAAACTCACCCGTGGAAGCATCACTTCCCAAAATTCTACCCTCCCTCCAATCCGTGCATTCTCCCTCCGACCCCCGTGTGTCCCTTTCGTCTCCCTGCCCCCTCCCTCACTGTACAGCCTGCTCGTTGGCTGTGCTGCCCGAGTCCTGGGGCTTCATGACGTCAGGGAGCTCTGGGGGAGTGGAGAAAGACTCGAGCCTCAGCTGCTCAAATGAATCATCTGGGAGAATGACAGAAAGTGACAACAGTGAAAAGAGAGAAAGAGATTATACAAAACGGAGTAAACCAGGGCACACAAAAAAACAAATGAATTGATGGTATTTAAATAACAAAACTACCTGAAAAAGTTTTAACATGGGGTCGATTAAAGGCTACACTACTTACCACTCAGACGGAAGGCTAATCCCACCGTTGCTGGGGCCTGAGGTCGGGCTGTTTGATTTGTAAAGCCACAGTTCCCAAGAGTTTGACTGTCATTGAGCATCACGTCATCCTGGTAAAGAAAATGTAGAAAATGGTAGTGTAGAGCTTGATTCACTTTATATTTAACACAGTGAGTCACACAGTATAAAGTAACAGCCTTTACAAAGATAGAGTTCAAGGCATCTGAAGAGATCTAGGACTGAGGACTGACAGTGCATTTTTACACAATGCTCCCTGGATAAAACAATGTGCATTACTCTGAACCAGCAAATGTGTATCAAAGTCAATACTAAGTTTTAAACTGAAAGAATTCTGTAACTATTGTGTAAAATATAATTAAAAGTTGTCCTAGCACTTGGCTTTCAGATTCAGTCAGATTGTCCATGCATAAAATAGTTAGAAAGGTATCTCTGTTTTTATTCATATAGTGAACCCAACAAATTGATGAAATTCATCACATTGATGAAAAAATCCAATATGATCATATACAGTAACAGTTCGTTAATTGAATTGTAACATTGCACATATATTAAATACAGACATACACGTTTTAAAAAGATCCCATTAAAAGTATCTCATAGCCAAAAGTGATGTTTTAATATGGTTGTTTTGTCTGTCCAAAAGTAAGAAGGCTGAATATGTTCAATTCACTGACAAATATGACAATTTAACTTGAAAGTGGTCCACTAACTAACATTTCCCTATTAAGGACAGGTCATTTACCTTGTAAAGTTTCTGATCTTCAGGTGGCCTCTTTAAAACGCCTTCCACAATGCGCTTGAGTTCATAGACTGTGGTTGACTCTTTGGCATCTGTGAAGATGGTTGTCTTGTTACGTCGGATCATAAGAAACACATCCTGAAAGAAAAGTCACTGGACATGAGGCACTGATGACTTCCAGGAATATTCTTTACTTTAAAAAAAAAGATTCCAGCACGAACATCAATAAAACCAAAGCAGATTAGGAACGTTACATCCTGAAGTTAAGCTGGTTTATCCGAGTCATTTCATGAAGCAACATCTTTATGAATGTTCTCTAGTCTCTGTATATTGCAGATTATTACAGTCATAAAGTGATATGAACTGAAAAATGTAGGTCATTTATGACATCATACTGGTGTTTCAGACAAGCTGTGAAAAAAAGGCATTACACTTTAACATAACAAGTTGGAAATGTGATGCAAAATCATATAATGTACCAACCAATGACATGCAGTAATGGTAAAAGTACCCAAACCCTTAAGTTATGTAAAAGTACTAATACCAAACAGTTTGAGTAGCAGATGAATGTAACTGCCTGCACTTGACAGCTTATCACATTTCTGCTTCAACTTCCTATGTTTATATAAATATGTGTTTATTAATTTTCTAATTAACCTTCTCCCTGGCATTAATAACATATAGATAGTAGTAGAGGTGAAGATTTTGGAGTTTAGCCTGAGTTATTGGCATTTTATTATCTACTTTATTTGCTTATGGTTTTCAGTAGGATGATAGACTGTTTCATTGTCTTTAACACATGCATGAGATTGTGCCAAACTGAAGATATTGCTATGTGGTTATTTGTTAAACTCGGGGAAATAAAATGCACAACTTATTTTACCATTATCAGTGTTCAGAAAAATCAGTAAACATATGTAAATGTGTGGAAGTTGTAGTGAAGCTGGCAGGGACAGCAGTTTGGTTATTTAGTTAATTATTCTTGGCAACTTACACTTTTTAAGGGTTTAAACTGGTTTCTTAAAATAAATGTTGACTACAACAATCAAAGTTGTAGATCTATGTCTTGAAATACCATTTATACTGATAAGAATGTTGTTGTGGATGTATTTTATTTTCATTCTGATGAGATAAAAGTACAATTTTAAAAAGTAGTCAAGTTATTGTGCATATCAATGCAAAGAGTGTAGTTCGATAAAATGATCAAAAAGACTTGCCATAGCAGCTGCTAGCTAGCGTCAAAACGAGCTAGGTTAGCTTAGCTCTGGCTACTAAGGTGGTCGGTAAACCAACTGTTAGCTGCAGTACTTTAGCTTCCTCGATAGAAAAGTTACCACTGAACACACTTGTATGCATACATGTAAATGTTGACATCAAGTTTATTTTAATATATGTCGTTTTGTAGATAACAACGTTAGCTGAGCTACAGCAGCTATCGTCCCTGTCAACTTCAGCTAGTTAGCTTCTTCATGGTAAGCTAGCCATTTCATCAAAAGCAAAGTTTGTTGTTTGAGCTGTCACTTATTAAAAACAATGCTAATATATATGCCATTTGTTTTGGACCCTGCTCCGCGTTCCTTGATATTAATTCTAGCACTGCAAAGCCCAGTCGAAGCTATCTGAGCTACAATGTTGACGTTAACCAACGTAAGGAAGCTAACTCATGCCAGCAAGCGTTAGCTAAACAAAGGCATCAGCTTTAGGAGGACCGTTTTATATGACAGGCTTAGTTTACCAACTGTCAGCATGTATTTTTAAGCTCAGACAATGTCTAAATGAGAAATTAAAGTAAGGTTTGGTTAGTCAACAGGCAATTACACTGTGAGCTGTATCTGTTTTCCTCACTCACCATTTCTTGCGGTTGGTTGCACACAGAAAAGAAAACTGCCTCCACCGCACAGCGACAACTGAGATCACAGCAGAGACAGAACAACTCCAACACCAACCAGCAGGTGGCGGCACTTTAACCCTCTTATTCTAATGTTATTTTGGATTTTATTTAATATATAATAAATAATAAAACGATTCTTTATAAATAATGCTGGAATAAATTTTAAAAAAGGCACTGAGTTTATAAATAAATGCATAGAAACATATACATGAGATAACGTGGTTGAATAAGAAATCGATTTTCAAACAAAAAGGTTTTCAAAGGACTTTTATTTATTTCAGGGGACTTTTATTTATTTCAGGGGACTTTTGTGTATAATTCCACATTAATTTAATTTAGGGGACTTATATATCCTATTTCCCAGTTTATTATTTTATATTCAAAGAAATGGTGTGTTGTTATTTCACATTCAAACAAATCAAAGGCATATTTATTTATTTTCTACTAAATTCAATAAAGATATTTATTATGTATTATTTATCTGTGATACTAGAAATGTGATTTGGGGTTTTTAAAGTTCGACACAATTGTACTTTCAAATTCATATTATATATTTTTGTTCAGTTTTACATGAAAGTAAATTTGCTAAAGTAAAACCCCACTTTCATGTCTCAAGAAATAAAAGGAGCTATATATGGAGACAACAGAGCTTCATCATCAAACCAATGATAAGCCTTCAGCATGTGTCCCTCCCTAGTGAAACAAACAGGTGTTTATTTTAACTGGTTGCTTTTCTTCATGTGGAAGAACTAAACTTCCTCCTCTCAGCCCGAGGCAGCTGTCACTGCAGTGAGTGTGACAGCTGAACTGACAGCAGCTGAGAATAACAAATTAAGCAAGGTGTGACAAAATGTGAAAGAGGTCTGTTTTTCTGTAATGACATCTGGTTGGCAGATAAGAGGCTGCATCAAAGTGTGATACAGAAAGAATTACAATAATTTAAAAACCTACACAAACGGGTAAATACACGTAATACTACTTCGAAAGGTGGTTTTAAAAATAAACAATTAGAATTTATAAACTAGATAAAATAGAATGGGCATACTAGAAAATGTGTCACTTGAAACATGCTCCTGAAACCTAGACGGTGTTTTCGTTTTTTTTGTCCGAAAGATTTCCTATTTGTGTAAAAGCTTTTTCATGTTAACACGTAAAGCTGACTGCTGAAAAGTTGATTTATTTCAAAAACACATTGACTACGCAGGAGTATTTTTTTTGTAGTCTCATTTTGCAAAATACCACATAGTCAACACAATTCTCATTTAAAGTTATTATACATGGCAAAGAGGCCTATAATGTTCCAACTCAAAATAACTGGACTCCAGCTGTCTCACAGTTGCTCAGGAAGTAAAATTTAGGAGCTTATGTAACAGAAGGGCCAACTCACAGAATCTTGACGTGAATCATTGTTTTATCTACAAGACTCAAACAGATCACCAACAGAAATCTAGCACATTTCCATGACAGTTCTTGATCGGTCATAAAATAACCTTCTTCCCCGCTTTGTTAATGACACAACAGATTTCCTTCCACATCAATTGACCTGTAAAACAATAATAGAAACAATTGGTAACATCAAAGTAAACTGTTAAAAAAAAAAAACTAATATCCTCAAACTTGTCTTAGAATATTTTCAAAGTCATTGACTTTCTCTTTCTGGATAACACCTTAAAAAATGCCAAAATGATTCACCAGTACACCAGAATCTTCTTAATATTATATAGAAATGTGATATGTATTTGGACACATAAACGTTTGAAAATGTATTCAACTCACCAAATAAACTTTAAATATTTATCTCACAACAAAAGCACTCTCCCGGATCTTGGAGTAAACATACTGTGGAACAAACAGGCAAGAAAACAAGAGTCATTCTACAGTGTGTGTGTATTTATCATAGACAAGTCAAATGCTTAGAACCTGCACTTACATCCAGTCCTCTGGGGGAATGAACAGGCTCTGGTCCCTTACAGCAGAGCACTGAAAAGGGTCTCTCCTTTGTTTTTGAATGGTCTTTGAAACACAGACTGAAAACCTTGGCAGGCAGATAGACATCCCAGTCGGGCGCATGTTCCTCTATTAGATCACTTACCATCCTGTTAGGGAGCAGCAAAAAGAAAACATGTTGGAATAATACAAACATTTCATTTTGTGTCCTTAAAGCATTTATCATCTTAAAATGAAAAGTACACTTACAATTTTGTTACTTGACCTGTATGCACATTTCTTTTTTTATTGTTTGATATTTCTCTGCACTGATTAAATGGCTACGACACATCAATTTGGACCTCTGAAATGCACCAAAGAAATACAGATATAGTAATAAGAGAGCAAATAATCTCTGTATGTAAAGTACAGACCTGTCAATCATCTGCTGTGTGACCAAATCCAAAGTGCCCGTCTGCTGATGATAGACAACAAGAGCCATGGAGACCTTCAGCTGATCTTTCAGTTCTCTGTTGATCTAACACACAGTGTACATGTGAGAAACTGGTCGATAAGGAAACAATACTGCACCAATACAATTATAAACAATATGTGTAAGGAGCTACAAATTCTGCCCATACTCCTTGCTAGGGTCCCACTAGCATGTGTCTATCTGTTACTAAATGTAATTTATCAAAGAAGGTTTTTTTCTTGGGGTTTTGTGTTGTAGTCAAAGCTTCATGGCTGGATTGATAGCAAAGAAAACAACAAAAGATATTGTGCAGCAGCTGCATTAAGTGTGATGGATGGTGGTAGAGATTACAAAGATTATCATGTTTACTATTGTGAGCGTTCATGTCATTGCTGAACAACAACAGAATTAGACTATTAAGGGTTATAAATCCTATGCTAAGACAATATGCCACTATATCCCTTAAATGTGGTTTTAAAGAAACCTTCAATGACAGACTTTGGCTGATTTAAGGCCCCTATGTTTGGTTAGTTTTCAGGAACTTCTATGAAAAAAGTATGGTTATGTAAGATGAATTGAATATTGATATGGAAGCTATTTACAAGTCTGGCAATTACAATTACTAAAAAGGGGCAGTTATCAAAAGTATCAATTCAATCAACAATGTACTCACTTTGTGGACTATGTCATGAGGCAGTCTGGAGAGGATTCTGAACGGGTATCCAAAGTGGGCGATGATGTCCACGATTTGCTTTGCCACATCTGGAGGGAGGCAAGACTGCATCGGCACAGCTTCCACCCACTTGGAGTAGTAGTCCGTCACAGTCAAGATGTATTTGTGCCCGTTCAGTGTTTGATGCAGCGGACCCCTGACATCCAGGCCAAGCCACTGCCACGGCTCTTTCACCTGCCATCACATCGTGCACACATGCCATTGCAATAAGAATCCCAATCCATTTAGTTTGTATTTATTTTTTTCCATACAATCAGATTATCTCAGAGTAACATACCTCTATCAACTTTTCGGGATCTTCACACGCTGTCTGTGAACACTACAGAAGAGCACTTGTTTAAAATACATCATAATATAGAAGTCCAAGTTTAAAAGGCAAATATTGCATTTTCAAATCATGAAGACTACATACACTTAAATTGTCATCTGGAGCCCACTGAATATCCTGAGGGTATGTGTGAAAAATAGAAAATAATCATATTAGAAAAATGTAAGAACAGTAATAATGGATAATAAACTTAATAATTATGGTAAATATCCAACAACATAAGGCTTTTAATCTGCCTAATGTCATACCATACATGCCCTGATTTATGCTATGAAAAAATATATAAATTTGTTCGTAAAATTATCAAAACACTGATTTGTAATTATATTTTATATATAATAACATCACTTACACGTGGTTCGCAATAATCTCCATGGAAGAAATGTGGAAATGACTCTATCTTCAACAGCCCTTCATCGACAATAATCCTCCATTTGTCATTAGACTTTTTTGGGTCTTTGTCTCTGATATCAAACAATTACAAATTAAATAAAGACGCATTAAAAAGGCAAGAATAGAAATGGGTACAAACTTGATAAAATACACTTTCTATAGTAACATACCCAGCAGGCTCTTCTGTCTGTCTGGCTTCTTTGCTCTGGACTCTTCTCTTTGCCTTGACAGGAGTCCTTGTTGGAGACTGAGATGGACTCGTGTGAGAGGCTTTAATACCAGGGGGCTGCGTTCACAATGCAGAAAACCACACACTGTTTCAGAGATTTTAGAAGATTGAGGTCTCTGATTTATATTTTTAACTTCAGTCAAAGAAAGCTCAAATGTTTTATTACAGTTACATGTCAATACAATATGCTCTCACCTTGTTCCTCTTACTTCTTGGAGTGCTGGAAGCCTGCATCAGGTGGACAGTAATTACATATGAGATATATATTTTAGAGAATTATCAAGAAAGGACAAAGACGTTTTTTGATGAAGCAGCTAGCCAATTAAAGAATTTAAATATCTTGTTCTGAAAAAAATGTTGGCAACATACAAACCTTCCTTTTCTGTGCATCGCCAGGGGATGGAAATATGGTTGGAACTGCATCTTCTCGCAGTTTCACACATTTTCCTGATCTGTCGATGCATTGTTCCTCAAAGTGGTCGATGCACAGCACTGAGAAGCGAGATGGCGTCCAGTCCTTCCACTTCATGTTGAGAAGCCATTTCTTCAGTTTTCTGGGATTGTACAGGGGAAACCTACAGTAGCACAGACATTATTAACTTATTATCATTTTAAAGACAGTAACATTTGCCTTGTATTTTTCTATTTGCAATTCATCACATTAACAGTGTCTGTCTAAAACCCACTTTCAAATTGGTGAAACCATTAGACTACATATAACTCCTCGTTAAAAAAAACACATAGCCTACCTTTTGCGTTATTTTCATTTTAAAACAGCAAGAAATAAAGATTTCAATAACTTTTTCTATACCCCATTAGGCTCATCATGTTTACTTTTATACTTAAAAAGCATTGCTAGATAAAACATCAAAACGAGCTGGAAACACTACGCCGGGAAACCAAAAAGTGGCTACCTAATGTGATTCATGCTGATGTTTACGTTAGCTAAATTAGCTTCACTTTCCACAAATCTGCAAGGTTTTCCCTGTTTACGAGTGAATAATGTTACAACTCACTTAAAATACTTCACATCTGTCTCGCTGGAGCTTTCGCAATTGTAGGCACATTTATATCTTCCCATTTAGGACACAATGTTGTTTAATTTGAGACTAACACACTGATATTGTGGCCAAGATATTTGTTTGATAGAGTAGTCAAGTAAAAAGAAAATACCACTGCAATATCCGGTCAGAGTTTTCAAAATAATATCATGAAGGGTTTGAAACCTTTTAAGTCTAAAATAAACCCTACAGAAATTAAATACTATTTAGCGGTTATTTAGATGTGAATGTGTGCTTTTCTTGTATTCAACCCGGTTGTTGAATAATTGACGTCATATGTTCATTAAATACACAAACCGGAAGTGCTTATTTTCCACCTACAAAATGTGAGAAATGGAATGCTGCTAACTTGACACAAAGGTTTCTCTAACGGATGTTGTTTCTTGCACAGGAACCAAAAGGAATCTCCTGCAACGCCACCTCATGGATAACATATTGAATGGCAGTCATATTTTGTTTATTTGACACATTTAAACACATTTACATGCAATGTATTGTACAGTTTAAGACAAGAATGAAAAAAAACTTGAGCAATTCCCTTCAATTAACATTCACTCACTGACCCTCCAGCTTTGAATTTTAATATACCCGTAAAAATCAAAGTCCTCACATACAAAAATATGTTTTTCATTTTACATTTATCATACAAATTGATTACAAAAAATATCAAACAAGGGATACTTAAAAATGTCACCGTTTAATTATCATTAAGAAATGTTCAATAAACAATGCACTGCAGAAGTCTCATAGCTCAATTGCTTTTTGTTTTCCACTCCACTCTCCACTCGTCCCAGTCAAGCAAAGTTCGTTTTATGTCCCATCCTGCAGCTTCCACACCTGGAATTTATAAGTAAACATTTTTTTTCACATTTTAAAACTACGCAGGGTAACGTTGGTGATCTGTACGTTAAAACTGTTTAGTGCTCACCTGTGAGAAATGGATTGAAAATGGTGTCCATCAACTTGTGACTCTCATGCACCATTTCCCAGTTACCTTTTGAAACATAATAAAGCATGTGAATCAGAAAAATCATTTTTATTTATGTTAGGTAAAGAAATGAATGGAGGTAAAGGCTCACTCTTCTGTTTCGGATGATCTCTGGAAGTCAGAGGGCTCAGGACGCTGCTGAGCCACACAGCTTGGCACATCGCTCTGATTTCATCATGTACTGATGCTTCTGGTCTCAAACAAACATGTACACATCCTGAGAAGAACACAGCAGGGTTAAGGAATGTTTTATAGCTTTTTATCAAGTTGTTCAGTAGTGGGGATTGAAAGATTACATACCATTTCTTACTCCCAACAGGTAAGGCAGGTTGTTTTCCTTCAAAGCCAAATTCAGTTCAGCCGGACTTCAAAATAATAAGCAAATACATTTTACTACATTTTGTTGAACATTTATTGTTGTTTCATTATTGTGTTGTTTTTAGTAATTTAAGTGAAACCTGATATTACCTTTGTACAACCTCCTGTAGCCTCACACCAAGTTTTATTGGCATAGTTTTCCTAAACTCTGGAGAGAAAAAAAAAGGAACATTTCTTAATTTTGAATGCTCAGAGTTATCATATTGACATTTATTGCGTATCATCCCTGAAACAACTTTTTTACTTTAAGACAAAACAGCTTACATTTAGGCATAACTAAATAATGCATGACTTCAATAGAATGCTGAATGTTTTCACATAGTAACTTGACGTCCAAGGGGAACAATTGAAACAACAGTTGAAACAAGAACAACAGTTGAAACAACAGTTGAAACAAGAACAACAGTTGAAACAACAGTTGAAACAAGAACAGTTGAAACGAAAGAAGGAACAATTGGATTTACAAACTGAACTGGCAGCAGCAAATGGAAGGATAAATGTGCTCAGCATGGGATCAAGACACACCTCTAGAGCATCAGATGGGATGAGCTCTTACTTTAGAAACCCTACAGCAAGATTTAATCTACATGCAACTGAATTCTCACCTCATCAAGCCCAAACCTCTATTCCCAGACAAAATATACAGACACAACAGGGACATGTTAACATCACACCACCTGTAATCAACAATGGTAATCAAGGTGGCAGAAATTACATCACTGCTATGCTGTCTCAACATCTCACTTCTACTTTACCACCAAGAGACATTCCTGTTTATGATGGTGACCCATTGCAGTTTGAAGCCTTCATCCGTGCATTTGAAAGAGGAGTAGAACGGAAAACTGATGATGAAAGTGACTGCCTGCATTACCTAGAGCAATACACTAGAGCAGTGGTTCCCAAACGGTGTGCCGCGGCACACTGGTGTGCCGTGAGGCAAGTCCGGGTGTGCCGTGGGATTTTGTGACAACCATACGTTATTATTGCAATATACAACTACACAAAAATAATTATTTTTTAATTTACTATATCAGTACTTTGTATGCACTCATTTCATAATACAGAGGCAAACTCTATACCTAAAAACAATTCTTTAAAAAAAAAATCCTCACGGAACCCCATATTTACTTGGTTAACGCAGTTGCAGGTGGGAATTATACGACCGTGACACATCGAAGGCTGAAGGACAACATTAAAACAAAGAAACACGCAAGAGGGAAAATGGAGCGCTTTCTTGTGCGGAGCAAACCACCAACCACCAGTGCAGAGACTGCCGACAACCCACCACCGAAAGAAAAGAGGAAAAAAACTGTCAGCAGACAGTATCATGAAAGTTACCTGTCTTATGGCTTCAGTTGGACCGGGGATGGCAACAATCCTCAACCCGAGTGCGTCGTCTGTCGGGAGAAGTTAGCTAATGCGAACATGGTTCCAAGCAAGCTGAAGAGGCACTTGGAAACCAAACATCCCTTCCATGTTCAGAGAAACTTGGCCTACTTCAAAAGAGCGCGGGATCTGAACCAGAGGCAGCAAGACCGTTTGTTGGATTGTGTGAAAGTGTCTGAAAAGGCAATGGAGGCTAGTTACATGCTAGCGGAGCTCATTGCAAAGCAGAAGAAACCTCACACAATAGCGGAGACACTCATCCTCCCCGCTTGCAAACAAATTGTAGGTATCATGCTGGGTCCAGATGCCGCAAATGAGCTATCCAAAGTGCCGTCGTCTGATAATACAATCAAAAGAAGAATCGACGACATGTCAGAAGACATTGAGCAACATTTGACAGAGAAACTGCAGGCGAGCGGCAGATTTTCCCTACAAATAGACGAATCTACTGACATAAGTGGGGCTGCCCAACTTCTGACAAACGTCAGATATGTTGATGCTGACTCTATCAAAGAGACGTTTTTCTTCTGCAAAGAAATGGAAAGCCATACTACGGGAGAAGAAATATTCAGGGTAACTAATAACTATTTAAAAGAGAACAGTCTGACCTGGAATATGTGCGTCAGTCTTTGCACAGATGGTGCGGCAAGCATGACGGGGAGAGTGAAAGGATTTATTGCTAAGGTGAGAGCACAAAACCCACATATCGTCACAAACCACTGCATTTTGCATAGAGAGGCATTAGTTGCCAAAACCATGCCCCCGGAGTTGACTGAGGTGCTGAATCAGGCTGTGCAGATGGTGAATTACATCAAATCAAGGCCCCTGAAATCTCGCCTCTTCTCCCAGCTGTGCACCGAGATGGGAGCCGACCACCAAAGCCTGATCCTCCACACAGAGGTACGTTGGCTGTCACGGGGGAAAGTCCTATCCTGTCTTTATGAGCTTCGGGAAGAGCTTTTGGAGTTTTCACGTGAACACGCTGTCCCACATAAAGACAAGCTCGCGGATGAGAGGTGGTGCGCCAGGCTGGCTTACCTCGCTGACATATTTGGGCATCTCAACGAGTTAAACGCCAAGCTTCAGGGCAGGAATGAAAACATTTTATCATCCAGACAAGATTCGGGGGTTTATGGGCAAACTTATCCTGTGGCGCGAGGCTTTGGAACAGGCTCCATGGACATGTTCCCGCTGGCATCAGCTGCGCCGCAGGCAGCTAGGGAGCGCGCTGTATATGCCGAACACCTTCAGACCTTAAAAGAGAGGTTTGACCGCTATTTTCCACGTGTGGCTGACATCGAGGACTATGACTGGATCCGAGACCCATTCCACCAGGAATTCTCATCAGAAAAGCTCACTATGAAAGAGAGAGAGGAGTGCGCAGAGCTCCGTGTGGACCGCACACTGAAACTCAAATTTAGTGAGCTCCCACTGGATCAGTTTTGGTTGGCTTCTGCATCGGAGTACCCAAGCATCTCCCACCACGCGATTGAGCAACTTCTTCTTTTTCCCCACTACCTACCTGTGTGAGTTGGCGTTCTCTACTCTGGTTTACATGAAGAACAACAGGAGGCCACGGCTCTCTGTTGAACAGGACTTTCGAGTGGCCCTCTCCTCAGTGCCACCAAGGATTAAAAAAATCTGCGCGCCCCGACAGGCACATGTATCTCACTAATTTGTAAGTCGGCAAAATATTTACAATAGCACATGTTTCAATGCTGATTGCTGAAATGTTACATTTATAATTTGTAGTTCAGGACCATGGAGTGTGCAGCTTCCTTGCATTGACAGTTCTCTGTGCTGAATTTCTGCTGAGTTTCCTTTGCCTCATTTTTTATTTTGTGACCTGTCTGGTTTAAATGAGTGTGTTGCTGCTTTGATGAAGCCTAATTTGATAAAGTTTCAAATTAATTGAAATATTTCGTTAATAAATATTTCATGTAATATAGTTGTCTTTGTCACATTTTATTTGGCATTAGTAAATAATTATGCACGTTTACAGATATTTTACATGATATGAGTGATAACACGTGTTATAAGGGCTATTTTGCACAATAGGTGTGCCTTGAGATTTTTACTTGTCCTTTGGTGTGCCTTGGGCACAAAAAGTTTGGGAACCACTGCACTAGAGGACAACCAAAGGACCTAGTGCGCAGCTGCCAACATCTGCCTCCAGCTCAAGTTTATCAAAGGGCAAAACATCTGCTTAAAGAACACTTTGGTAATGAACACAAGATTGCCACTGCATACATGAACAAAGCATTTACCTGGACAATGATCAGAACCGAAGATGTGAAAGCACTGCAAACCTTCTCTTTGTTCCTAAGAGGTTGTTGCAATGCAATGGAACATCTCACCTATATGGATGAAATGAATGTTGTTTCAAACATGAAAAACACACTTCAGAAACTACCCTACAAACTCAGAGACAAGTGGAGGAATAGAGCATGTCAGCTACAGGAAGAGCGTGGGCATCGAGCTACATTTCCTGACCTTGTCGACTTCATAGAGAGACAAGTGAAGATACTGTCAGATCCTCTGTTTGGAAACATCCAAGATGATAAACCATCTACAACTTTCAAAACCTCTACCTTTTCAAAAGAAAGGTCAAGAGCAGAGTTGGGTGTAAGAATAGACAGGAATGTGACGGTGAGGTGCAAACTGTGTCCAGGCCAGAAGCTATTATACACTGCTGCAAACACCACGTCGAACCTCAACAAACACCTGCAAAGAACACATGCTAAGGTGAAGCTAATAGCTAAGGACCCCCGAACCCAGAGTGAGGATGTTGTGAGTGGCCGCCGCCGACTCCGAAGAAGCACAAATTAGAATTTGGAGGACCGGTAACCAAAGCAGAGATGGACAGGCTTGTAGCATCCTTCATAGTAGAGGTAATGTTGCCCATTTGCACAGTGGAATCACCATCGCATCGTTCAGAGATATACTGCGCAAAATACAGATAGCAGGAGACAGAGGACAGCCATAGTCAGAGCTATCTGGATCAGTCTTATGCGACAATGGAAACTGAACTAAAGAGAACATTTGAAACTTTAGCAGTCTGCGTGATCTGCCTGTAGGGAGGGGCGGGCCAGCCCTGCGAGTAAAGTAACGAGTAAAGTAACGAGTAAAGTAACGAGTAAAGTAACGAGTAAAGTAACGAGTTACTTTATGTAGAGAGTAACAAAGTAGTGTAATATATAACTTTTTTTTAAAGTAATATGTAATATGTAATATATTACTTTTTTTTAGTAACAACCCCATCTCTGGTCAAGAACGTTTAATGAGGAGGCTAAACCTTACAGGACAAAGGACTAACATTCTCTTAAAGACAATGAATCAAGAAAAGATTGTGTCTAGTCATCATATCTCAGGTTTGGAAATATCGAGTCTGGACAAAGACAATTTCCTTAAACTATCTGATGTTTTCACACATAAGACCATGCCTGTTAACACAATATTCCTGTACAAGAAGATCTTGAAAAATGGCCTTACTTAAAGGATATCAAAATTCACTGGTATTGACCTACTCATCGGGACAAATTCTCCTAAGGTATTGGAACCTTGGGAGCTGGTCAATAGCCAAGGAGAAGGACCGTATTCTATGAAGACCCTACTGGGGTGGGTCTTCTATGGTCCCCTAAGAGGAAGCAACGACAGCAGAGATTCTAACAGCAGCACCCAGACGTGTTTTCAAACAGACAAAATGCTGAAGGCTCCGGAGAAGGTTTGTCACCCGTACAGCCGGAAAGCCACTTACGTGGCACGAGAAGAGATCAGACTGAAAAAGGAAGAGAGACAGAATAAAGACAAAGCAACACGTAGGAGCTGTATCGGTGAGAAGCTGTTGTGGTTTCAGGAACATTTGGATCAAGAAAAGACGGCGTTCACCAAAAAGGATGCCTGTGACATCGTTGATAGGTTTGAACCTGAACTTGAGCAGATTGAGCTGATTAACGGCATCAAAGGTCGACAGGGTCGTCTCCATGGTGTCAGGGAAGCTGTCGTCAAACAGACCATGGAGCGAGAGCACCAGCAGTATGAGGTCGGGTTTGAGATCCCAGAAATCATAAATGCAATAAATCTGGAAACGTTCACGGAGTGGACTGGTGACCTGAAGAAACCTCCGAATAACGAAGATATGTCTGCTCCAGGAAGCTGAGACATAAGTACCACAAAGACTGGTTACCCTTAAAATAAGGGAGAAGAAAACTGAATAATCATTAGGAATTAAATACCAACACATAGAACACACCATTTTTATTTTTCATAGCTCCTTTATTATTTATTGGTAATTGTTTTTTTTGTTTCATACTAAAGCCAATTAGGGGCCGGTGTGTAGGAGCCATTTTATGGGTGTTGTTGGTGTCTCAGTTTACATTATTTTGAACACTTGGTGGTGGGGTTTAGCTGCACCGGGTGTATAAAAGGGGTGACGGGAAAGGACGAGGACAGTCAGCTGTCGGGGGTGGTGAAGCTTTTCATTCAGGATGGACGGGGGGAGGGGGGGGATCCCTGCTCTTCGTGTGTCTCTCCTTTGGTTAAATTGGAGAGTTTGCTGAGGAGAAGGATCATTTCTCCATTCTTATCTCTAAGTCGCTGGTTTTCTTTTTTTAAGTCAACCAGAACTGTATCCGGAGTTGGCATTCCCGTAACGGTATGATCCGAAGCCACCATTGGTGGTTCTTTTTTATTTTTGGCAGCCTCGGCCATAGTGCCCTCTGGGAAGAGCTGCTTCAGAGCAGCCAGAGCAGCGTAGGCCTTCACCACCTTCTTAATGAACCCGATGCCCTGGAACGAAGCGTGCATCGTAGCTTCCTCCCATCTCAAAGATTAGATTATACTTCAGGCTACCGCGCTTCGGTTTTACTCCCACAGAAAGGGTTGGACAACACGGGGCGTGACCACTCAGCTTTAGTTTAGGATTTATGTTTATTTCATGTGCTCTCCTCCATTCAAAGTTAGCACATGGTATCGTAAGTTAGCTTTTCTTCTCACAAATCCATTCTAAGTTAGATTCAAAGTTAACTTCCTCCATACAAAGTTAGATTATCAACCTAAGAGAAAACGCATAATACACAAATTACATAAAGCATACACCACAAAAGTCTGTCACCATAAACACATATGTAATCCAAACACTCACCGGCTGCCCGTGTGCCCTGTGGCTGATCAAAACATGAGTGACAAACATTTCACTGGCCCTTTTTAAGATGGCTGACGGTCCCTCATCAAATGAGTCCCAAGGGAAACAAAATATTGGAACCAAGGTTCCCTCCCAACTGAGACCTATTTTGCATGCACAACTAAACAAGTATATTAGTAGTAGTATTCATCCTGCTTCCATCACATTAGTATGCATAAAAAGTGACAGGTGCTGTGACAGGTCACACCTACTACTACTACTTATGATAATGCCCCCTTTGTTCGAGGTGTTATGACATGTAGGTGTGATATCACATATAGGTGTGATATCCTTTGATGTGAGGGTTGAGGTGTTATAGCGTGCAGGTGTGATATGCCCCCCTGTAGTAGACCCTTTGTTGTCAATCTAATTAGCCTTGATCTATAATCGAATTAGCCTCTGAAGTTGTCCTTTGATCAGTGTTTAATATAATTAGTGTTAATTAAGGCAGTCTCGTATTGTCCTGTCTAAATTAGATTAGTTTTAATCTGATTAGTGTTAATTAAGGCAGTCTCTGTGAAGTTGTGTGAGACTCTCTCCCCCCTACCCCTTCCTCCCCCCCCTTCCTGCCATCCCCATGATTTTGCTGTGATGTCAGAAGATAGAGGGGGTGGAGTTAGTTTAAAAAAGTCACCTAAAACTTTTATTGTCCTCTCTAAATTAGATTTAGGGTTTTTTAAATGATTTGTGTTAACTAAGGATGTTTCTTTTTAAGCTGTGTGAGACTGTTAACTAATGTTTAATTACTTTACTAACTATAAGGAAGTCTCTTTTATGAAGAGGGTAATAATAATTTAAAAGATCTTAATGACCCCCTGATCTTGTATTTTTAATGTTTAATTACTTCACACAACTTTAAAGAAGCCCCCTATGAAGTTGTTAACTAAGGATGTTCTTTTGAAATTGTATGGCTTGTGAACTGGATGTTCTCTTAAGTTGTATGGCTTGTGAACTAATGTTTAATTACTTTATTAACTACAAGGAAGTCTCCTTTGAAGAGGGTAATAATAATGTAAAGATCTTAATGACCCCTTGATCTTGTCTTTTTGTTATTGTTTAATTACTTTATTAACTATAAGGATGATTTACTGGTGTTGATCCCTGGATGATGTAAATAGTCCAAGTGCCATGTTAGGGGGACATCACGGAGCTCAGAAGTCCGCCCTTTGAGGCTTGAAGAGCGGACAAAGAGAGGTGTATTTACTGGTGTGTTTCCCTGGATGATGTAAATAGTCCAAGTGCCATGTTAGGGGTACATTACGGAGCTCAGGAGTCAGCCCTTTGAGGCTTTGTTAACATTAATGCTTTTTGCTTTTTGTTTTTGTTACTAAGATACTTTTTAGATACACTTTGAAGTGAGCAACACTTTACAACTGGTAGAATATGAAGTACTTTGTAAGGAATTGGGTTTCTTTAGGGCTGTTTCAGTGACACAATGCAGTTTTGATAATTTCAAGTTTCAAGGCTTTATGTCATATGCCCATTAGCTACAGTGTAGATATGTCAATGAAAAACACGGGTCACAGGCTCCTCCAACAGTGCAACATATATATATATATATATATATATATATATATATATATATATATATATATATATAGCACATAAAACAGATAAAATACTGCAATAGAATGTTTTTGATATGACTGATTTGTGCGTAATTCTCTCACAAAGGAACTGTAAGATACACGTTTATGTATACAAAAAGTTAAAACTAGAAAAATCAAATACTTTGTCTAAATAGATGTTATTTAAGAATGTGACTCTTAATGGCAGCTTTTGATTTAAGTAAGACAATCCAGTTAAACAATGTTGTTTTTGATGACTTTACTGATTTTTGCTACCAAGATACTTTTAGATACAGTTTATTGTCTGAAAACTTTACAACTGGTAGAATGTCAATCACTTTGTAACACATTTATTTTCTTAAAGACTGTGACTCTAAAAGACAAGTTTGTGATTTTAACATTTATTTACTGACACTAGGCAGATTTTGGCTTTTTTCTCTTGCCAAGATACTTTTAGACACACTTTGAGGTATGCAAAACCTTAAAACTAGAACATGAAGTACATTTGTGTGTAATTCTCTCACAAAGGAACTGTAAGATACACTTTTATGTATGCAAAACCTTAAAAATTTGAAAATAAAATACTTTGTCTGAATACATTTTCTTTAAAGGCACTTTTGATTTTAACGCTATTTCAGTGGAACAATCCAGTTTTGTTAACATCAATGCTTTTTTCTCTTTTCTTGTGTTACTAAGATACTTTTAGATACACTTTGATGTATGCAACACTTAACAAAGGGTATAATATGAAGTACTTTGTAAGGAATGGGGTTTCTTTAATACCAGTTTTTTTTTAACACTCGCTAGAATTTGAAAATACACAACCGGAGAAAATCTGCCACTTCCTTATAGAGCCCCTCCTCCAACACACACGAACGCGCACATGACCAATGAGGGCACGAGATAAGTTTGTGCACAGATGGAAGGCTGACAGGCAGGTAGGCCATCCAGTTATTTTAGCCGGGCCGGCTAAAATGATTGGTCGTGCTTTTTACAGTACTACGGCTTCCACAGATGACATTTTTTTATGGATTTTTTGTCAAAGCACTTAAGATATTCATTGCTATCGGGATGTTAAGAGCATTCCATGGAATATAACAAAAAGTGTATCTCGAGCCGGTTTCTCAAACTTACCTACCCCACCTTTAACTGAACAAGTGTTAAAAAAAAAAACAGGGTATTAAAGAAACCCCATTCCTTACAAAGTACTTCATATTATACCCTTTGTTAAGTGTTGCATACATCAAAGTGTATCTAAAAGTATCTTAGTAACACAAGAAAAGAGAAAAAAGCATTGATGTTGACAAAACTGGATTGTTCCACTGTAGTGTTAAAATCAAAAGTGCCTTTAAAGAAAATGTATTCAGACAAAGTATTTTATTTTCAAATTTTTAAGGTTTTGCATACATAAAAGTGTATCTTACAGTTCCTTTGTGAGAGAATTACACACAAATCTGCCGAGTGTCAGTAAAAAGTGTTAAAATCACAAACTTGCCTTTTAGAGAAACAGTCTTTAAGAACAATCTAATCAGACAATGTACTTCATGTTCTAGTTTTAAGGTTTTGCATACCTCAAAGTGTGTCTAAAAGTATCTTGGCAAGAGAAAAAAGCCTAAATCTGCCTAGTGTCAGTAAATAAGTGTTAAAATCACAAACTTGTCTTTTAGAGTCACAATCTTTAAGAAAATAAATGTGTTACAAAGTGATTGACATTCTACCAGTTGTAAAGTTTTCAGACAATAAACTGTATCTAAAAGTATCTTGGTAGCAGAAAAAAGCAAAAATCAGTAAAGTCATCAAAAACAACATTGTTTAACTGGATTGTCTTACTTAAATCAAAAGCTGCCATTAAGAGTCACATTCTTAAATAACATCTATTTAGACAAAGTATTTGATTTTTCTAGTTTTAACTTTTTGCATACATAAACGTGTATCTTACAGTTCCTTTGTGAGAGAATTACGCACAAATCAGTCATATCAAAAACATTCTATTGCAGTATTTTATCTGTTTTATGTGCTAGATATATATATATATTGCACTGTTGGAGGAGCCTGTGAACCGTGTTTTTCATTGACATATCTACACTGTAGCTAATGGGCATGACATAAAGCCTTGAAACTTGAAATTATCAAAACTGCATTGTGTCACTGAAACAGCCCTAAAGAAACCCAATTCCTTACAAAGTACTTCATATTCTACCAGTTGTAAAGTGTTGCTCACTTCAAAGTGTATCTAAAAAGTATCTTAGTGACAAAAACAAAAAGCAAAAAGCATTAATGTTAACAAAGCCTCAAAGGGCTGACTCCTGAGCTCCGTAATGTACCCCTAACATGGCACTTGGACTATTTACATCATCCAGGGAAACACACCAGTAAATACACCTCTCTTTGTCCGCTCTTCAAGCCTCAAAGGGCGGACTCCTGAGCTCCGTGATGTCCCCCTAACATGGCACTTAGATTATTTTTCATCATCCAGGGATCAACACCAGTAAATCTTCCTTATAGTTGCTATAACGCTGGCTGACTTCACTGGCCACTCAGCCTCCTGCCTTCTCAGAAACTCTGGGCCTCTTTGCCACTCTGACTCCTCGTCGAGCTCCTCTGGAGCAGCTCCCCTTGTGACCATCTCGTTGACTTGCTCTGCATAAGCCGTCTTCCACTCTGGGTCTTTCTCAAGGCGCTTTTCGGTTCTTCGGAAGGTTGGCTCCACTCCTCGCTTGTTGTTTGGAAGCAACACAGGATCCACCCTCCACGGGTATGCTGCATCCCAGTGAGGGGATGTGCTGTGCTCATCTTCTGTCGCATAAGTGAGGCCCTCCTTGATCTTCTTGCGCTCTTTTTCTTCTGCTAGGGTCATTTCTTTCCCTCCTGGTTGGCATCCACCGCACCGACATCCACAACATTTGGGTTTGCAGGCCGCACCGATGCTGTCCCACTTCCACCAGTCGAGTATCTCCTTACTGGCTACGGCTGTACTCCGGAGCACTTCCCCTTCTTTGTCATGCCGCTCCTGCTGGAGTTCTCCGGGTCCACGGGGGGTCTCGCTGTATGACACTACGGCCGTTCTCAACGATCTTACGAAGTGGGTTCTGGACTTGTGCATCGCCATGTCCACGCTCTCGAATAGATCGGGATGTGCTCTGCAAACAGTTTTTCCCAGCGGACTGTCCCACAGAACGAGGTCTCCTATCACCCTGGTCTTCTGTGGGGCGAGACGTCCTTCTCTGTGGCTTATCAGAAGCTCAACCTGTTTTGAGCCAGCTCCTCAGTCGCGACTTCTGGGAAAAACCTCTTGAGCTGCTGCGGGGTGACTGCATGGCATACTCTGGCTATCCTCTTCAAGCCATAGCAGAGAAGCTCATGAGCCCTTTCTTTACCCTCTGGGGTTTTCACCCTTACTCTCAGGGTGTACTTCTTGGTAGCGACCTTCATCGTCATCTCTACAACTCCCTGGATGACCAACGTGACATCCTCACCCCTTAGCTGGAGACGTCTGGCGGCTTTGTGGGTGATATAGTTTGTGTCCGAAGCAAGGT